GCCAACATATAGAGGGTCGTCACAAATTACTGAAATAATTCCCTTCGGTGAATTTGGGACAATAACTGCGAGGGTTCAGAGTTTGGCATGTATGGGCATTTTATCTGTATAACAAATGTAATTGTAGGTTTAATCAATCTATTTGAACTTTTTTAAAATTTGTCATAAGTATGCTCAACATTAAAATAAAGGTAGACTGTAAGCATTATTTACAGGAGGAACATTATTTATTAGGAATAACCCTTTGAGATTGGTCCTCTTGTTTTGAGTGGATTCTTGAGGACAGAAATGTACAGAATAAGAACAAATAGACAACACAGAGCACAAAACAAGAAACAAAAACAAAACAGAACTAGACAATAAATATTAAATGATGAAAAGGCATACATAATCAGGAGAACCAACTTAAACATGAAATGGAGTGGATTGTTCACTTGGCAATTCGGATGCACCCACAGAGAACTCAAGAATGTAACAATAGCCACTAGAAGAAACACAAGGATAAGAAATTACACGATTAAACAGGAAATGCTAAAGACCAAACTAGGAAACATTAACACTAGGAAAGATAACAGAACAAGGAATAAACCAACTGAATTAGAGTAAACCATGACATTAACATAACACTTGGATTTAAAATGAATGCAAGATCTGCACTGCATTGTTATGGTTATAGGTTAGGGTTTTATCTGTACTGAACGTAACACTAAATGGTGCCACTCAGGTGCTCGCTGACTGCAGGTTGTGGTTGTTCTGTGGAGCTCCTGTAGTGCGAATGTGAGGATTGCATGGATATAAACCAAGGTGCACCTTCCACAGTCCAAAAATCTTTATCTAGAGAGAGATGGCCCTCAGTCCAACTTTACACACAACTTACTGAAACACTGCAGCTCATCCAGAATATTATATAAGACTTGAGCAACATAGAACATGTCAGAAATGGGTCATGCTCGGTCATTCACTTCAGGAAAACTTGTGTTTAAATCCAACAAAACAAACTGTACAAAACATTGGACAGACTCATTCCTGCTAATTGCAGTAATTTCAAACAACATAAAAAAAAAAACTTATATCTTCACCTTTTTTCCCCAACAATTTGAACTATTTTCAAACTGATTTCAATGGTCAAAGGTCTTTTCACCGCAATCCTATTGTACAGCCTGTCACACTTTAGTCCCATTCACATTAAAAAATATCTAAAAACTTAATTCCCTGACATCTCTTTAAAATTGTCCCAATTTTCCAAGCAAATTTTGCTTCTGTAATGTATCCTTCTCTCTGGTCTTTTTGTATTTAGACCAACAATGCCAACATTGCTTGGTGAACTTGGTGTGAATTCCTTCTCTACTATGCTTGAAGAAGAGCTGCTTCTGGCCCCTGCTGCTGCACTGGACTTGTCGTTAGATGACAGAAAAGAATCATTGTGGAATAAGGAGCTTTTTTCAGACCCTATAGACGCCCAGTGAGACACAGTGAATGAGTGACCCAGATAAGACTAATGTGGGTTTGGATAGCACAACCACACAGGCTTCCTGCCTGTTGCTTAGTAACTTCTGGGTCTTCTGCCAGTCCGTCTTTCAGACTTAAGACGTCTTGTCATGGCAACCTTACATAAGACATTGCTGAGTGTTACAAACCAGTCAAGCTCAGCCTTGGACAAGAGAACAACATGAAACCAGAGAGTTTGGGTGACACCACCAGCATTTGTGCATTTAAATCAAGCTTGTCTGATTACACAATTCCCTGACTCACTGTTTGTAAGTGATACTGATTCATTTGTATTTAATTTGAACCACGTCTGATATAAACAGGCAATGAAATTCACCCTATAGACGCCCAGTGAGACACAGTGAATGAGTGACCCAGATAAGACTAATGTGGGTTTGGATAGCACAACCACACAGGCTTCCTGCCTGTTGCTTAGTAACTTCTGGGTCTTCTGCCAGTCCGTCTTTCAGACTTAAGACGTCTTGTCATGGCAACCTTACATAAGACATTGCTGAGTGTTACAAACCAGTCAAGCTCAGCCTTGGACAAGAGACAACATGAAACCAGAGAGTTTGGGTGACACCACCAGCATTTGTGGCATTTAAATCAAGCTTGTCTGATTACACAATTCCCTGACTCACTGTTTGTAAGTGATACTGATTCATTTGTATTTAATTTGAACCACGTCTGATATAAACAGGCAATGAAATTCATAATAAAGTCTGTAGAGGCTGTAATAGTCAGTCAGATTATTCAAACAATACACCCCAGAATCCAGAGATGGTTTTGCCCGGTTATTTCAAACTTCAACAAATAAATGATGAAATCCAAGGTGGATACTCTCCAATCATGGACTAGTGCAATTTCACATCTGGAGGATGTTTTATCTCCGGATTGGGGGTTTTCCGCACAGTGTAAGAGAACCAAGGCTCTAAACTAAGGTAAGCGAAGATGTGTTACTACTGATATGCTGCATCAACAAGTAGATTCTTACTCGCCAGGTTACTTCAGTGCATGTCAACTACTTCTCACATTACTAAAGTAAACTCGTGACTTGAGACTAAAAATCTCTCCAAAGATGAAGTATGAGAACTTGATATACAATTTCCTGCTCATGGAGATCCATGTTTATTGAATCTCGAAGGTAAACAAACCTCTAGAAGGAAGACGACATGATTAAAACGAGAGACAAAACAGGACTTGCACATACACAGTCTATGTAAAACAAAGCGTATGTTGTAGTCCTCACTTAACAATTGTTATTTCTTTTATTTTGAAATGTGCATAGTGCAACTTTTCCACTGTTAACCATTTAAAAAAAAAAAATCTAATAGGACTGAATTTTGCACTGATTTCCATGATGTCACAATATTTTTATTTTAATACTTCTGTCCACCACTGGCAGCACTGGACACTGAAATGAAAACTTCTGTCACTTCATGAAAAAGGTGCAATGAAACACTTTTGGACATACAGTATGGTGTTTTGGTTTTTCTAAGATTGTTTAAATAAGAACATGTAATAGCAATGAATTCCAGAAACAGGAGCTTTTATTCAATTCTTTAAAAGGCTTTTTCTTTCGACCCGTTTCCTCTGCTTGTTTATCAACTGAACATCTGCAGGCTTCTGGCTGCTGGTTGATGGTCCTCTCCCATCCATGATACATTAAGAGAACATAAGAGAACTGATACATACACATACCACATACCACATACTTGGTTTCACCGGTACAACCATGATACAACATTAAAAGCATTTCTGCTGCAGCCTTTTGTTAAAAAAAAAGAATAAAACAAGAGGCAGCAATGTCAAAAAAAAAACAACAACATCCAACTCTTCACGAGACAATCTATACCTCATAATACACAAAGCTTTACATCCAAACAGTGTGCTGCAAACAAGCTAGACAAAATAAAACACATTTCCTATGCCTTCGTAAAAATATGTTCAAAAGTCACAAAAGCAATGAAGTCAGAATCCAAACCAAACAGGAATATACATTTTATACAACTCAGAACGGTTCTCACTCTGTCGTTTTACCGTCATGTTGTTCTGTAACTTATTGCTGACATAAAAATACTTCCAGCACTGCTTTTTAAAAACTTCATACATGTTGAATACTAGAGTATTCAACTTTTTCAACTCCAGACTACATCTCAGTATAGATGATGACATTTTAAAACACGGTTTCTTTGGAAAATGTTTTTTTTCATGTCTTTTGTTTTTAAGAAACCTCTTTCTCCATGAAGTTAACAAACAACACAAATACATCACAGCCAACATCTGATCAGAAGTGGGAAAGTTATCGGTGCGACTCAATCATGACTTTATGGTTAAAAAGTTGTCGACAACCTAAATAAAAGCCAAAGACACAAGCTGAGTTTTATATTTCTGCCACAAAGACCCCTACCACATAGGAAGACATGCTTTGAATCTAAAGCCCATAACTTCCAGGTTGCTTCCTTCTGCAGGGTAGAGTTAGGGTTAGGGCTTCCTTCTACATTCCCACTGTGATTTAATACAGCCCAATTCACTGAACATGTATATACTGTAATTGTGATACAGCTGTGGCCTGTAGATACTTCTGAATTTAATGATAGTCTGCAACGTTTACATTCATCCTTTTTTTTTTTTTTTTAATAAACCATCCCAGTAAAGGTTAAATAAGAGCTGAAGACTAAAGATTTATTTTTGTCTCACAAACAGCCCATGGCTTTAACTTGGTTATAAGTTTGCCATTATATGGGGAAAAGGTTTGATATGAAACATAGCTTTGTGTTTTAATATTAACATATTCTGAAGGTCGATGAGAATACAGTTTTTAGTCCATGGGGCTAAAACGCTAAGAAAAATAAATGTTTGGGATTTGAATCATCTTTGAGCAGATGTACCCATAGTTTACTTCTAATGAGCAGAATGTCACATAAATAAGTTTCATGCTGGGCAAATATCTGGTTCTCTGTTTGAATAAATACTAATATTGATAAATAAGAATTACCTAAGGAAACCAGTGACCCATTGAAATATGACAGTTTTCTTTTTGGTTACACAAATTAGTAGAAACTTTAACACCACGATAGAAATGTTTTCAATGGATTTGGAACCAAACAATTAAAAAGTAATTTCTAGAACTGTAACGACGTACAGTTCAAAGTTGTTTACTTTATGTGGGATCTACTGACGTAAAAAATCGGAGTTTGTTCGTATCATTTTGCCTTGATACTGACCCAAATAAAAGCATTTCTATTGTTCTTGTGCAGTTGTTAAGTGTGCGTTTCTGCCCATTTTATTCACTGTAAATAGTACAAAAGTTCAACATCAGCAATCTGACAAGTTCAACACAAACTTGTGTTACAGTCCCAAGAGATACATAAGGTGCGTAGGTGGTATGTGTTAGTGAATCTGTGCGTGCGTGCGTGTGTCTGTGTCTGTGTGTGTGTGTGTGTGTGTGTGTGTGTGTGTGTCTGTGTGTTGTGTGTGTGTGTGTGTGTGTGTGTGTGTGTGTGTGTGTGTGTGTGTGTGTGTGTGTGTGTGTGTGTGTGTATAGATGTGTGTGTGTGTATAGATGTGTGTGCCAGAGCTGGTCACTCCAGGCCGAAGCCCTCAGCATTGGAGATGGCGATGGTGAGTTTGTGTTTGAGCTCCTTTCTGGTTCGATATGTAGGCAGACAGATCTGATTAAAACATGTTGATGTAAAGACAGAGATGAGAGAGAGTGGTAGCAGAGACAGACAGAGAGAGAGAGAGAGAGAGAGAGAGAGGGGGGGGGGCAGAAATTAGCAATGCACATATTTACACTGAAAGTTCTTAAAACATGAAGCTTTCACAGTAAACTATGTGGCCAGGATGATATCAAATCTGTCCAAAACAACGCACGTCTCCATATTACATACAACCCTTTTTGGAATTGGTTAACCATATACATGTTAAATGCCATACTCTAAAAATGTACCTGTGGATCCATTCATTGCAACTTTCATCTTCTCTGAATTCAAGATCGTCAGAGTTTCCATTATCCAGCGTTTAAAGGGCGGAGCCAAGGCTTCCTTCAAATTAAGCAGGAAACTAAATTCCAAAAAATATTTGACCAAACACCCTGCTCACACTAACAACCAAGTACAACACTGTGGAGTAACTAATAATTGTGAAACAATGTAAATCTCTCTGACCTTGATTTGAGGTTTTTTGTTTTTAAATTCCAACATGTCTTGCTGTTGAAATCCTACATTGTGATTCAAGTTATCTTATTACAAATAAGACAAGTAACAGTTAAAGTGTTAATCCTTTACAAACAGTATGTGTTAGCCAGCTCAAACACACAGATAATCCAATCAGACAGTGAAAAGACAGTTTGTAAGTGAAGGTGGTTGTGATAGTGTCACAACTGTTTAATTGATAAATAGAAGAAGGAGAGAGGTGACATGTAATCTTCTCTCCCTGGTCCTGTTTTGATAGTTTGCATTAACATGTAGCTTTACATTTCAGTTTGGGCCTCTCCGGATCACTGTATCAACATGTCACTTTCAAGTATAAACATCTTAAATTGAGCTCCGTTCTCCCCGGTCAGCTTTTTGAGAACTTACCAGTCATTTGGGACGTCAATTTTGGAGATTTTGAAATTGAGGTCAGCCATTCCCCCAACAGGAACGCGGTCACTTCCTGTGGCGAAGTGGAGGAGCTTCTTCTGCAGCTCGAGAGGGAAGGCCAACACCACCTCCCAGAAACACCTATTGCACAACATAAAAACAATATTACAGCTGAGTGCTTTTTTGCAATCTTGTGTCATCTTTTCTTGTTGGTTAAGTAAATGTACTTGAGCTTGTATAGGGCTTTACAAGTCTTCTGACTGCTCAAAGTGTTTTTACACCGCAGGTCAAACCTAACCATTCACAAAGTGATGGCAGAGGTTGCTATGTTAAGTAACCATCAGAAGTAAATAATCCCATGCATGCACATTCACACACCACAGACGAAGCAGTGGGAGCAACTTGGGGTTAAGTTAAGTGTCTTGCCAAGGACCCATCGGACATGTGGCTGCAGGAGCTGGGGATTGAACCCCCGACCTTCTGTTTGAGATATTGACTCTACCAACTAAGCCACAACCACCGTTTGGAGTTGGTGTATAGTTTTATTCGATTTCATCATATTGCATTGTAAAACAAAGCTGCAGGTGACTTTAGATGCATTTGAACTTAATTGTCCTTCTCTTTTTCTTTTTGTAAAAAATGCAGTTACACCTTTGTGATCCCCTACTTTACAGTCCTTTTTGGTATTGTTACTAAAAGATAATTGTTTTCTTTAAATGGTTGCATTCAATATGTTTCTCAAATGATTCCTTGAGTAATAAATGGCAGATTGTTAGACGGACAGTTTTGAAGTTGTATAACAGGCCTGCAGCTGCTTGTTGTCGGCTGTCAGCACCCTGCTGGGTTACATTATCTGTGCCTGACAAGTGTTGGCTCGTTTTTCAGCGGGAAACAAAAGGACTGAAGGGCATCTGTGTGATTGTGTGAGTGAGTGTGTGTGAGAGAGAGAGAGAGAGAGAGAGAGATAAAGAGAGAGATCCTTCCTGTTATAAAAACTAATGCCTCGCCTGCTTTGGGTTAAAACCATTAGTCAACCATCACTTTGAAATGAAAAACAAAGTCTGGTCGGGCTTAGTGGGTCCACATTTCATATTTCAAGCTGCAAGCAGCAACACAATGGAGCTGACTCGTACGACATTTTGATTTGCAGACTGTTTAATACAATGCAAGCTATTTAGATAGAATGTCTTCATCTGAAGAAAAAAAACAGGTATTGGTTGAATTAGAAAACAATACTTTAAGTCACCAGACAGGAAAATATTTTTTAAAAAGTAATTTAAGTTATTTATTAAATAGCAGTTTGGGTCAATTTCAGTCAAGAGGAGGTGCAGGCGTCGTACCGTACAGTGGTGTCGGTCTTGCTGTATCCTTCATACTGAGCAGCTTTCTGCAGAGCGCTCATGTCGAGCTCGGGACTCCCGCACACCAACATCTCCACCTCCTCTGGCCGCAGCAACTGCAACAACAAGGGAAATATTTTTCTGATTTTATTAAGATTTCCAGACAGTACAGCAACACGTCAGGTGTACTGACAATAGGGTAGCATAGCATAATACTATGATTTAGCTTAAAATGACAACAAACGACATGAAATAGCTGAATGTACTGTAGGAGAAGGAGAAGAATATGGAACACAATGCAAAGTTATATGATAATATTTGCTGAAAAAATTATGGATTAATATTCTCTATTGTTTTTGTTTTTTTAAACACATTACCAACAATGATATGCAGCTATACATACACTAGCAATTACCTTGTATACATAAGTAATGGCCTGTAAATCCCTCATGCTTTTTACTGGTTGACCTATATAGAGAGGTCATTACAAAATGTTAATACATCCATTAGCTATGACTGAAAACCTGCTGGTCATGGTTTTATTTTTCTGGCAGTGTTACTGTTTGACTACACCCTCTGAGCTACAGTGACGAGGAAGCATTCATATGAAAACAATCTGATGAACGCAACAAGAGCCTTTCCCAATAATTCGGCTAAAACACAAGCAGCAGTCAGATGCAACAATCACACCCGTATACTTGAATGGTGCAAGGCCGTCCCGCAAGCGCCACACCAACAACAACCAGTAAATCAGGGGGAGAAACAGGAAATTCTGCCTCATCAGAGCAGCTGATAACAGAAAGTGAGAAAGTTCCTGTTTCCTGTTTATGACCAGGAAAAAGTGACACAAAAAAAAAAAACAGAACAACAACCACACAATATAGTCCTGAACCGGAGAAATGTAACTCTGCTGGTCTCTTGTGTTGATCACAAATACTAGTAGAGTAACGTACAAGAGGAGAAGTGTTTAAAATTAATTATAAGAGCAAAACATGATCCCGAAAACAAGTGCAATAAATTGCAAATTTCACAATCTTGTTTTGAGAAAATAACACAGCTTTCAGGTGATTTTGATGGTACTGTCTGACGCTTTTATGATCTCAGAGCTAAAAACTCCAACCAGTCAGACAACCCAGACAATCTTCCCTAATGATGAAAAACACTACACCACTAAACCACACACACACCCAGGCCTGCCTGATCACATCCTGACACATTGCAGACGTGACTGAAGGATCGAGCGCAAAACAGAAGAGAAAGACTGAAACAACTAGAATAAAAACAGAAGTGATGCAAGACGTTTTACACATGTAATGTTTGGGTCAGATTGGATCATCCACACTCGAGTTAGATACCACTTCCTATTTGATGGCTACACATTACACTTTGCCAATACAGCAGGTGACAGTTTTGAAACAGGGGTGAGGCAGAGTAAAACAAACCAAAAACATGAACATTTCAATATTTAGCTTTCATCAGCACAGCTGAGGGTTGTCCTCTTTCAATCAGTCTTTATATTCCAATGCCATCCTGTTCCCCTCTGTGACCCAGATTCAGGCTCTGAGATGATAAAGTCAAACTGTCCGTCTGACCGTCTTATCTGCTGCAATCACACACAGTTATTTCAGTGTTCACATTGGAGCTGTGACTCCCAACAAAACACTTCAGTAAAAAACGTACACACGGTTCACCGAGGTTCACTTCAAACTTGACTGACCTGACACTGAACTTGAAACAGTAGAGGTAAGACATCAAAGGTCAAATTCACTGTACTGTTTTTATGCTCTGTTAGAAAACTACTCTGTCAGAGGAACCTTTAAGAAATGTCATGAAGAATCTAGTCTAGGATTATGCTGTTATAATTTAATTCTGTAAAAGTTTCACTTATACTGGCGTCAGTAAAAACCCTAATTTCTTTAAGGCCCCCCTCCTCATATGCACACCCTCCTCTGATTGGCCAGCTCTGTTTGCAGTCTCAGGAGATATTTATTGAGTGAGTTCCGGGGTGGGCGTATCCTTGAAAGAGCTGCCCTACAACTTTTCTCCATGCTTTTCTCTAATTGCATGTTTTGGATTTTTCCACTGTGTGTATGTGGTTCCCCAGTGGGCTTTTGACCCTTTTTGGGCCCCCCAAAGTTCAACAAACAACAACACTAAGATCAGATATCAGTCAGAAGCTTTTTTTTTTTTATCAGTGAAAGCTAGCATTTGATGTAGGAGGAGGGTAAACATGATTGACTGCTTGAGCCCCATTTTTCTGGCAGATGTCTTTGCCCATGATGACGAAGAAGAAGGAAAGGTCTTCTGTTTTCAAATATAACTTTCCACTGAAACACAACAGTCGTATATCTTTACACTGCTGTTACACAAGAAGGGATAGTTTCTTCTTTATTAGAATGTTTGAAATATTATTCCTGGAAATGTCTACCCACCATTTATCTGGAAACAAGCCACTGCTGTTTGAACGATATTATATCACGTCACATTGGAACTCTACTACTTAATTTAGTCGTGTGTTGGGTGTCAGTCTAATGACATTGGAAGATACATTTTGACATCTTCGTTTTTATCTTATAGACAGTATGACATTCAGTTAGATAAGTCATATCTGCTCATATTTGCATAGCTTTGGCAATTGGATGCAATTATCATCCTTTAACCTGTATTATCATTTATAAACAAACTCTTAATTTGTACTGGCAGTCACTAAAGAGGGTTGATATTAATGTCAGAGCTGGTTAACCATAAATGACTGGGGCAGGTCGAAAGAGTAAATATTTGAATATTTCAAGTTACACCTCATTTGAAATCTTTTTTTTTCTTTGATAACTTGAACCAAACAGAGATTTGACTTCTGATTAAGTATTACAAAATATTATGACCAAGTTATGTAAGGAGATTGAAATGTACACTCCAGAAATACAGTTTTCAATGGAAAATGTTTTTAAATAATCTTGGAATAACACTTATTATTAACACTTATTATAAACACAATTTATAGTTAATAGCTGTAAATTATTTCTGTACAAACATTTACTTACTTTACCTGTCAATTTATAAACAAACTCTTAATTTGTACTGGCAGTCACTAAAGAGGGTTGATATTAATGTCCTTTAACCTGTATTATCATTTATAAACAAACTCTTAATTTGTACTGGCAGTCACTAAAGAGGGTTGATATTAATGTCAGAGCTGGTTAACCATAAATGACTGGGGCAGGTCGAAAGAGTAAATATTTGAATATTTCAAGTTACACCTCATTTGAAATCTTTTTTTTTCTTTGATAACTTGAACCAAACAGAGATTTGACTTCTGATTAAGTATTACAAAATATTATGACCAAGTTATGTAAGGAGATTGAAATGTACACTCCAGAAATACAGTTTTCAATGGAAAATGTTTTTAAATAATCTTGGAATAACACTTATTATTAACACTTATTATAAACACAATTTATAGTTAATAGCTGTAAATTATTCTGTACAAACATTTACTTACTTTACCTGTCATAAGGTTTGTACGTAATATTTGCCAAGTTGATGTGTTGGGCTTGCTCTATTATCTTATGAACCACAAAAATAACAACATTGTGCTTTTCTGGCAAAGTACAATCAAAGCCAGTTTTGTCCAGTTATCACAAAGTTCTATCCAGGTCAGCATCATAAACAACACAGCTGAGAGGATGACCCTGAATGTACTTTTTAAATGTCTGGGCAATGGCCAACTTTATTTCAGTTACATAAGTTAGTTCGGCTTAGTGGCCTTTTAGGTAAAAGACCAGGAGAGAGAAATACCCAAAAATAGCAAAGAGTTGGTTATTATGTTTTTAGCTAACTTGAGTTTTAAAATCAAATGAAAAAAGACCAGGAGAGAGAAATACCCAAAAATAGCAAAGAGTTGGTTATTATGTTTTTAGCTAACTTGAGTTTTAAAATCAAATGAAACAAAATGAATGGCATAATCCTTCAAACCTTTTGGACAATGTATTTGAAAAGTTGTTTCAATGTTTTTCAAACATTTACACACTGGAGATACCAACTAAGGTAAAATTTGCATGTTCAATTTTCTGCAACCAACAAGCAAGTCTTTACACACACAAACACACAAACACATGCACACACATGCACACACACACTGTGGACTCACCATGAGAGCATCAGAGGCACACACACTATGGAAGCCGTGGTAGAAGGCAGCAAACTGTTTATAAATGGATTTATTCAGCAGGAAGTCGACGTAGAGCTGGACATACTCTGTGTAGGGAGAAGGAACGAAACAGTGATTATTCTATATTCCATGACAAACTTTTACCATTGTACCCTCCAGTGTTGGCTGTTCCATTGAACACTCAGAAAGTGGCAGAGAACTCAACCTGAGAGCAGCCAGATGGAAAATTAGGTTTATTAACTAAATAAAAAGCGACTTGGTCCACTTAAAAAAAGGTACAAAGAAGGTTTTGAGCTGAGCCATGTTTGTGTTGGTACTTTCTTTACTATGCAGCGCTACACTGATTCAGTCATATGGCCTTGTCGAGCCTATGTGGTCATGATGTTAAGAGCATTTTGACTTATGAACTAAGAGGTCAGCATCTTCTACATACCAAAAAAGCCATTTTTTGTTGGTGTTTCTAGGCTACTGTGTTTAGCTTGTATTTGCTTCTTCTTGTAATTCAAACAATGGGGAGTGAACCAAGGTCAAACATGTCGCCGTTGGGGCTACTAGATGTTGAACAACAATTACTTTTACTAAAATCCTGTGCAGAAAAAAACACATGCTTAGGCACTATGGGGCATGTGGAAAATGTAATAGCTAGCTTCAATTTAGCATTAGGTACATTGTTATCCTTAATTTCAGTGTAAGCAAGTGGACCGACATTATCTTGTTGCAGTGCATGTTGTTATGTTTATGGGAAGGGGGCACCAAAGTTACATCGTAGGGTCCACGACTTCACTGTATACACAGTCCAGAAATATAGATTAGGCTAAACTAGCAACTAGCTTATTTCTCTGTCTCTTTTTTTTTTTCTCTTTCCATCCAACTGCCAAAATTGGAGAGAAGACACAAAGTAGATATTGATCAAAAAAAGATAATTGGAAACAATGAATAGGACAAATCTGCATTTAGTTTAGGCCATATAAAATAATAAGCAATAGACGGATAATCAATATAACAACAGATAAGATTTGCATTCAATTATACGCCGGCTAACATTAATGTTTAGTATAAATAATAGAATAGGAAAGGTCTCGCTAAGACAAACCAGCCAGAAATGTAAGCCTTTAAAGGTCACATATTATGCAAAATACACTTTACTATGCTTTTTCGAATACTAGTAGGTGTCTTTGGCCTGCCTACAAACCCCCAATTATGAAAAAAGTCCACCCTCTCAGTCTTTTGTTTTCTTCAGTTTTTAGAAAATGTGTGCTCAAACAGGCCGTTTGGAGATTTTCCCTTTATGGGTTACTGCCCTATCACAAAGGGCAGTAACCCCTCCTCCATGTGGGTGACACTCCCACAGCTAGGTGTTTGTTCTGCCATCAGAGTCTGTGTCCTCACTGTAAACAATTGGGCATGTTGCAGACACAGCTTGCTTGCATTTAAAGCTACAGACACAGAAACAGTCTGTACTGAGCAGGGCTGAAATAAAGGGGTTTATAGTCATGATAAAATACAGGATCAGAGTGGATTTATAACAACAGACTTCATACACATGTTTTGGGGACCTCTGAGACTCTGAAGTTGAAAAATAACATGAGTTGTTGAGGATAGTAGTACTAGTTATCACCTTCATGTTTTTTTGCTCTGGGTATACCTCTCAGGCTGCATACACGCTGCACTATGTTATCTGCAAAGGTAAGTCAGACTTGTACAAAATAAGCAAAAGGAATACCCGCACCATCTACAGTTTTACATTTTTCCCTTTTCTTCAGTCGTTGCAGCAACCTGAAGTTTCAAATGCAGGTACATATTCAATTTCTGTCAGAGAATGTCGTAGGATTTGTACAGCTATCCTCTATAGGGCAGCTTGCGGACAGATCTTGACAGTGATCTTAGGTGCAGGTTCTGTTTCCACTAACTTAATAGTTTTTGAGTTTTTTTTCCAAAGAAAATGAACCACTTAAGTTATTTCTAATGAGGTGTGTTTGTTCTTTAAACATTTATTTGATCAAAGGTGCAGCTGGCCTTGGATTCGTGCAATAACCGTCATGGAAATACGAAGTGCTTTATGGGTGTTAAGTGTTATCTGCTTTTTATTAAATTTCGGAGCTTCTTATCCTAGACTTAAAGCATTTTTGCTCTACTTCAGTCTGATCGAGCAGGGTGTAGGTTTGCAGAGGCGTAAAGGTAGTCTGTGCGTCTGTGAGCATGTTTCTTGACAAACTGAACGACTCAGAGGTCATTCACTGCTGAAATATGAAGCTGGCTCTGAGCATGGACTCACCCTTCCTGTTCTGCTTGGTGACAGGGATTTTATCTCCCCCAGGCTTCAGGTTGTAGGATTTAGCAATGCCCATTTCCTCCTGAAACACCTGCAACACAAACACACACACGATACAACAAGTTATGGCAACAAGTTATGATGTTTTCTTGGACCAAAGAAATTACACAAAGTTAAAGGTAAATGGATGCATCTAAATGTCTCTTTTATCCCAAACACCTTTCAGTTTGTCTCTCATTGCCTGGTGACAAACACAGAGTTCTTTCCACTGACACTCCCATTGTCCTAAGCTCCTTGGAGCGCTATACCATCTCAGCAATAAATTGAGTCCCATCATATGGGTGCTATGTGCTACATTAAAGTACGCACAGGATAATCATGGCTGTACATTGCACATTCTCTCTGTATGTCACACTATAAACTTTGCACACACCCTTGGTAACATAAAGCACAGTCCTGCACAAACTCTAAAGCTTTTTTTAATTTCAATTTATTAACAGATATATGGTCCATGTTTTGTGTAATATTATTTCATATATTTTTTAATGTTTCTAGACAATAAGCAGGAAAGTTTAGAGTCACTTTCTATTTTGCATTTAATTCAATACAATTTTATTATATTATCACAAATAGCGTATTTTACACTGTCTGAAAAAAAAGGTATAATTGATGTCTAGCAACAGACATCGACTTCCCTGATAACCACAGGTTGAGGACAAAACCCTGGGAAGTTCTACAATTTTAAAATTCAATAACAGTAGCAGACGCTTTTGTCCAAAGCAACGTACATCAATGAGTAAGTAAAGCACACGCAGGGATCTATGGAGGAGGACAAAACTTCGGTAAGTGCTAAAAAATCAGCTCTAATCTGTTCCTGTGCTCAGCCAAGAAAGACTTACATCTTATAATAACCCTTGAAATGTTCTTTATTTTCCAATTTAGAATTGAATATGGATAAGCAAATAAAATGTAAAATAAAGTGTTTGTGCTATAACTGTGCTTGCATACATTAGTGGTATCACTCTTATATTAAATAAAGACATTTTCATTCCTTCCAGTTTCTCATCTATAATTAAAATGGAAACATTTCTTATGTGGTACATAAATACACTTTGGGTTTATGGTTAGAAATAAGTTTAGCATAGGGGGCGGGGCTATAGGGATTGAATTATAGTGAGGGCAAACTTATGTGTGCAGTAAATAGAGGGGTATAAATACAGTCAAAGGGACACTCATCCATACAGAAAGACAAACATACAGGGAGAAAATGGGGAGTCATCATGATGAAGGAGTGACATAAAAACTACAGACGGAGAGAAAGATTCAGTGTGGTGCCGGTCAGTGGGTTCAGCCGTGCCACAGTGGTGTGACTGTGGCCGGCCTATAGCTCACAGTGAGCTCACACTGTGGGTTAAAATAACATCATCACTCCGGCTTTTACATAACACATATGTTACTGCTGTGTATATAACCCCAGTTGCACCATAAAGCATTCCATTATATCTGGTAAGTACACTCAGCCTGCTCTGACAGGCCAGCTTCATGAAACACGCTGATGTCATATCATGTAAAACTCAGTGTGTGGAACTTTGTGATGTATGCTGAGGACCCAAATCACTGAGTTTGAAGCAGCCTGTATGACTTGTAAAGAAAAGCACCTCTTTTTGTAGTGTTTATAGATGTATTTAACTTAAATATTGCTAATGCCTCAGTGGAAAGTCACTTGACGCATAATACGACCTACTGTTGATCATAATCATGTAGTTCCAGGAAGAAAATGTCATGTTTTTTTGCAGGTAAAAGTGAGTCAGCATTCCTGCTCGTCTCTGATCATTTTTACAGATAAACATGGAGGATGTTAAACAGTCTGCTGTGCCTCATAGCAGGAAGCGTGCTGATCCTATCATACAGCTTGACTTAAGTTTAGATTGTTTACAGAGAGCTAACTCTAACTCTGCTTAGTAAACGTCGCCAATAGAAGACAGGGTTATTTTCAAATATCAAGCATCCATAATCTTTATCTGCGGTTGAAACTTGTCAAAATAAAACATACTTTGTTAACTCTTTGAACACTGTGAATGGAAATGGTCTACCAGAGCGTGTGCTGGTATTCTAGCTGATTTTAATGTTGTTTCTCTAAGCGTTTTAAAATGCTCCATAACCAGACTCTAATCCACTAACAGTTAAACTATAATAGTCAGTAAACCATGATATTTAACAGCAGTATTAAGATTTTTTCATAATCAAGAAATTGTAAAGAACTTTGTGAAATAAACAAGAAGCAACATGATCAAAATACATCTTATTTTTTTAAAAGTCACATATTATTATTCTCCTTTCAACCAGTATAAATAAGTGTAAGAACTCCCCAAAACATGTCTGTGAATTTTCTAAACCCCCCCTCTATTTCAGCCCTGCTCAGAACAGGCTTTACTGTAGTCTGTAGCTTTAAATGCAAATGAGCTGTGTCTGACCACGCCCCCTCTCTAGAAGGGCTTGGGTTGAGCTTTCTCCAACGTGCCCAATTGTTTACGGTGAGAAGGCAGATACAGCTACTTGTTCTAACAAACAAGTAGCTGTGGGAGTGTCACCCACTTGGGGGAGGAGTTACTGCCCTTTGTGATGTCATGAAGGGAAAATCTCCAAACAGCCTGTTTGAGCACACATTTTCTAAAAAGTGAAGCAGACACAAGACGGAGAGGATGGACTATTCTTATAATTGGGGGGGTTTGTAGACAGGCAAGTGACACTAATAAGTGTTAGAAAACATGGTAAAGTATATTTGCATAATATGTGACCTTTAAAAAATTGACATTATTTTTACGATTTAGAAATACTGAATGTACATAAGAATATTTATGCTTTTGTAATTTATCTAATCTGCATATTTACACTTGCTTGGTAACCCTAAAATCTCCACAACTTAAAGTTAAGGTAAGTCATATTCCAGCTATAATGATTTTGATGTTAGACAAGTTTAAACTGGATTATACAAAGAATGATCCTTCAAACCCAACCATGTATGATCTTCTTGTAAATGGGTTAACAATCTTGGCCCAATGAAAAAAAATTACTTTTAGCCAGGATATCAAAAGATCCATCGATCTGAACATTCTAACAACATTTTCCCCACTAAACTATTATTGATCCATTAAACAGAAGAAGTCCAAGTAAAATGTTACCTGCTGCTGAAACACAAGCAGCCGTACAGAACTTTGATCAAAGAGACCGACACTGGCATGACTGAGATGAAATTTGTAAACCGTCTGATCATAGAGTAAGTCAGCAAGAATGTTCATCTGGAAGGATGTTGATTTAATCATTTCAGTTATTTCATGAGAATACGCTGAACACTTGGAACCAATCAATTCATCCTGACCACAACCCTGCAGTATAACAGTTCATGACAGAGTCCTTGACATTTGATAAATCAGCTGCGTGACATCAGTGAGAATGATCCAGATCCCCAGATCCCCTCTGGTCTTTATTAAAATCTCACAGCAGTGACAGCACTCACATCTGTCTGACAGCACAGCAAGACCTGTCGAGTCACTTTATTCCAGTCATATATGGGTGTGTGTGTGAGTGTGTGTGGGAGTGTCTGTGTGTCCTGACTATTAACAGGGGAGTTTTACCTGCACTCAAACCTTTCTTACATCATTTACCACAGTATTGATACATTTGGAATAAAATGAAATACAACATATTGTATTTTGCACCTCAGTAATTTATTTCTCCTTAGCTTCTTTCATGCACTATTAAGCACCCATAACGGGTAACAATCCGCATTGCAAATAAACGCTTCCTTTTGAAATGATTTAAATCCAAACAAAGCATGCATCATGAACCGATCGTTAAGCTTTAAGTGCTTCTTCGTACCTGGAAGGTGAGGTAGAAGTCTTCCTCCACGTTTCCCTCGTAGCTCAGCAGCTCTCCTAAACCATGAGCCAGCTCCTGCAGACACACAAGAGTTTAGGACAGGGAGCAACAACCCACAGCTCTGTGACTCTCAGCTTACTGGTTCAGACACTTTCCCTGTCTCATGAGAGATTTAAGTTGCTCAGAACATTTTGAATTTCCTGTTTCGTACTACCTTTATTTTAAGCATGCAATTTTCCTTTTTTTGTCTTTCAACAATGCATGAACATTAATCATCCATAACTTTATTTTAAGAATGAAACAGGTCCTTGTTTGCATGCTCTTTAAACAGAACATCAGAGGTATACTGTACAGGTGAGAATCTGTGAGAAACTCTGCAGCCTTGCTAGTCCTGGCTTCAATACAAATTCCTAGTTATGTAACTCTATTTTGAATCATTTAATATCATAATTTGGCACAGGAGTCTCAGGAGTTCCTGAATCAGACACAAGATGCAGGCCTCATATCTGATATCTGGCTGCTATGTAGCCTCACGGCCCGTTTTAGCATCCTGTGTGTACGTGTCTGTGCGAGTGTGCCCAGAAATGTCGACCTTTGCAGTGAGGAGGCTTTTGGATGTGAAACGGCTCCTGGCTCAGCTACCTGTGAGAGCCTGTGTGGAGACAGTTCGGGATCTTTCTCTCAACGCTGAGGCACAAGACAGAGGAATAGAAACATCTGTTATGCAATGTTTGTCTGCTGCAGAGTGAGGACAGTAAGTGAGCAAACGTTCCCTGATTTGTGGTCTTAAACCATCAGAACCGGGAGCAGAGTGTGGAGTTTAAGGCCTTGCTAAAAGGCACCTCCGTCGTATCTATGACAATTGGTTTTCTGCCATCTTTTTGCGTATGGCACCCTGGTGTTATAAGATCAGAAACAACATATTACTACATTAAACACCATGTTAGTTTTTGTTCCCTAGAATCTTCTCTCTTTTTTCAAACCTCACATTTCCTTACTACAACAAAAACAGAACACTAAAAGAGGTATTCAGGACATGTAAACAACTAACTGTCCACACACTGTGAGACCCACAGAGTACATGATGTGAGTACATTATGTACGACTGTGATGTATACATTGGCAGCCGGTAGAATGGTGGAAAATGTATATACGTGTATGTGTGAGTCTGCACTTCTAAATGGGGGGGGTGTGTCTGAGAGAAAAGTGCGCCAGAGTGGATGAATAACCTCCACATCTGGGAACACTTAACAACTGAAACACAACTTTTAGACTCTCAATACATCAGCAAGTGTTACATGTGAGTTTCAACAAAACAAACAATCTGAAGAGAACAATTGAGACAACTTTCTTAACAGACTGAAGTGTTAAACTCGTGATTTTGAGCCCATTTGTTTTTATTTAAAGGCTTAAGTGAAGAAGAAAAAAACGGATATAAGGTTGTTGAAGTTGAAGAAGATTTCTACAGATAACAAAAAGTGAAGTATCCTTTGAGTTGACTCCAACAATGTAAAACATTTTAAAACTATATACATGCATAGTTTGGTAAAGGATGAAAAAAAGACTAATTGCATGTGAGAGTTTTGAAGCAAAACCTAATGTAGTATTTTGAGGTAGACTTTTCTTCTACGTGATAGCAACAGTCCGTTAAATTTAGACTCTGAGACAATGGTGGGAGTTATTTGAGATGGCTAAGTGGAAAAAATAGAGATCAAAAGTTAAACTGTGGCACCCTCTAGTGACAAATCTGGGAAACGCAAGTCTGAGTTAACAAGACGTGAACATCAAAGGCTACTTAAACACATATTAAGTGAATTTAACAGGCTGAAGACCTGAATCCAGCATGCTGTATATGTGCAGGGATAAATGTTGTTAAATTGAGGGATGAGTTTTCTTTTGGCGTTTAGGTGTCAGGTGCATTTATGTAATACGGATCATCAGACAATATATTAAATTACATAAAAAAACTGATTTAGATTTAAATCAGTGTTCATTATTTTATGTTACACACTATTGATACCTACTGTTTTTTGCTTATATCTCATCAAACTGTCAAATTTATTTTCCTACACAAAGTTTGAATTCAAACCAGTGATATTAAAAATTGAGATATATACGTACCGGCATGATCTGCTGCAGGTCGTCCAGGGTGGCAGTTGCCATGCCAACAAGGCATTTTGGTCACATGGTGCAGTGGGTGGAGTGAGGAGCTTCCTGTAAGGTTGGTTACACACAAAACAGGTCAACTATATTACAAGTATAATTTGTCCATATTAGATTTGAGCAGCACCTAATAGAGCACAAAGGACACATTTCAACAATATAAACTTCTCCTGCTGCAGAGGCCTTTTTTTTACCTTTGAATTTATTTGTGTGGTAAACATGTGACCCATCTCTCACAGCAAACAGTTATCTAAGCAGATGTTAAGTATATGTTCTCTGTAATTTTATGCAGAATCCCTTAGAACTAATACTGCAACAGTATACCAGATGGAAACAGACATACCTGTAACAGTAGAGGGGGAAATGGATGTCCAGAGCGATGCTGTTGTAAACTGCTAAGCCCATCAGCTGATAGCACAGCAGGTTAAGGAGAAGTTACTATTGACAGAGCAAAATACACCCGAACACAAGCCACACAACGTATGTGTATCCAGCAACAGCAGGTCCACAAATTAGCTGTAACATTGTGAGAATCTACATACATACATTACATACAGTACACATAGCAAAATAATAATTATTATTACATTATGGCAGCCCTTTTTAAATCATTAACACATATCCCACAACACTGATTCACTTCATAAAAACTCTTCACACAGTCAGCGGCTTTTTAATGGGACAAAATTTGGATTAAGTGTCATTGATTTGATTTCAAATGTATTCAATTACTTCATCTTAAAAAAAAATGAAATAGTTTCTTCTTAAACTCAACCATCACCAAATCTCTGTGTATTTTTGCACTTTTTTTGCATATTATTTAAAAGTTAGTCCCCTTTACTTTAAAGGACCAATATGTAACAAGATATCTAACTGCTATGTTGAAGCGCTGGCTTCTCTTACAACAAAGCAGCAGCCAGTATGTCCGCCAGTAAATTTTGATTCTGATGCGGACTGGTCTGTTTTTGTTTTGACCAGACAAGGTATAGGCAAACCGAAACACCAACAGGTGTTGAAGCGATGGAAGCGGGCCAGCGAAATGGTTCAGATATAACTGATTCTACCCAAAAAGACTCACTTTTTTCTAGTGAGTCTAGTTACAATAAATATTGGAGATGCTTTTAAAAAATGGAGAGAGGTTAGAGCGCAGAAACATTTCTAGACTCTAAGACAATGGTGCGTATGGACGAGTATTCTTTTTTAATGACAAATCATATCCTGAAAATGATTTAAACGGTCATTGTGTTGCCTAACTGTGTGTGTGCGTGTTTGCTTGGTGTGATGGTGAGTTCATGTTCTGAAAGTCCCATCCACCTGCTTTTTTTTCGATCCAAGGTGCAGTTTTAGAACACACTCACATACGTACACACAATGCTCACAGCTGCCACATGTGGTGACCATATGTGGTGTAATTTCGCGTGTGTGTGTGTGTGTGTGTGTGTGTCAGGGAGGTAGAGTATGAGAGTGTCTATGGTCTGAGCACTACTTATTACAGGTAGGTGACACACACACACACACTCACACACACATAATCAAATCTTCTACACACAAACACACACATACTCAGACACAGCATGAAATTAAACATGCACTGTACAATTACCACCATCATTAAGGTCACTAAAAAGCCCCCCCCCCTTCACACACACACACACACACACACACTTCTAATCACACATATACCAAAGAGTGTAACAGAAAAGCATATATCTTCTCTTTATGGGACAAGCATGAACAAGGCTCTCTCTCTCTCTCTCTTTTTTTAACTTTGACTCTCCATCCACCTCTCTCTCTGGTCATGCCTTTTCTGTTTCTCTCTCTCTCTCTCTCTCTCTCTCTCTCTCTCTCTCTCTCTCTCTCCACTCTTTTCTATTTTCCAGACTGGTTATTTAACATTGTGTTGCTTCATTGGTGCAACAACACAGACAACCAAAAAGAACATTGATACACTGTGCTATATAATGCTGACCCATAACAAGGCAAGTAAGTCTGTCTCTCAGTTTGTTGTTCCGTCGGTTAGTTACTGTAATAATCAGTGGCTTGCCGTTTCATTTCATGGAACCATTTATAGGTCATAGAAGATAAATCAAACTCACAAATTTTAATCCCCTGACTCTATACAATACTCCATCAAGTCAAAATTGTATTTCTAGGCACCTGTTTCAAATATTAGCATGCTAACGTGCAGAACTAAGAGGGTTGACATGGCAAACCTATCTGAAAAACATTAACGTCCATAATGTCCTTATGACAGTGTTAGCATGATCATGTTAGCATGTATATCAAAGGAACTAGCCCAGAACGTTTATGGGGAGACTTCTTTAAAAAAAAAAAAAAACGGAATACAAAAGCAGGGCCTTGTAATGTCAAATGAAACTCAGTGAGTATTAGAGGCAGGACACATAGTTGTTATCTCCTGGCTGCGAAACGAATTTCCCCTCGGGGACAATAAAGTAAAGTTGAAAAAAAAAAAAAAGTTGAAAAAAAGCTATTCAACTAAATTAGTAGAACAAAGCTGCAGGTTAGCTGCAGGTTAGTGCTGACATTTCCCTTTTTTACCCACAATGTAAATTTGGTAATAGAAATATTGAATACCGAGGCACTCTTCTTCATTAGGTCAGGTGTTTATTGTGTTAGCATTTTCCCCAGTGAATTTCTATTTAATCAAGATACAATACAGCACAAAGAGGAGGAAATATAGGACGGGTCACTCCAGCCACGCTTCATTTGATCCCTTACATTTGTCTTTGTCTCTTCAATAACCCCCTACTGTATCTTTCCCTCTCGTCTAGTCAATGTTTGTTCTTTCAGTTTATTCTCTATTTCTCCATCTTCTACCCCCTGCTGTAACACTTCTGCTTTTCATTTATCTGTCTCTCTCGGTTACACATTTTCTCTCGTGCCTTACTCTTCACTGCTCACTGTCCATCTCCACAGTTACGCAACGCTACCATGACGACTAACAGGAACGAGGGAGATTGATAAATTAGCTCTTACAGCACATATGTGGAACACACATGGAACAGCAGGCACAAACAGACACACACACACACACTCATTAACACACAGGCTCATTCTCCCCCTTCCTGTTTTTTTTCGACCTTTCTCTTTTCTGTCTCGCTCTCTCCATCAAATTTTTTTTCTCCTCACTAACTGTTCCTGCACTTAACCAAATGCGCACACACACACACACACACACACACACACACACACACACACACACACACACACACACACACACACACACACACACTGGCGAGGAACAGGCAGCTATTAAGTTATATAACCTTTTGACAGTTCCCAGCTGGCTACTTACTGAGGATAAAGTGCTGGCCTGTTCTCTATTCACAACCATACACACACGCACACACACACACACACACACACACACACACACACGCATACTGTATATAAACAAAATGACATGCACATATTCCTGGAAGTACATTTGACAAATAGCAGGACCCACAGCAGAGCCATACTCTGCAGAATTTGAACTACAAAAGTGAACGTCATGTATGAATCGTTCACTTCAATGTATCAAAAATGCTTCCCTCGTTTATGCTCCATAACAAAACAGATCACTCACACATACATCTTTTTAGGATCAGTAGCCAGTGGCTTGTGGACAACAGAAAGTTGAGTCAGGATAGGGATCCCAGGAGTTCGTTGCCTTGACAGAACCATAAACAAGATTATAGATGTGTTCAGAATGGAGGTAAAGAAAGTGTTTGAGGAGGTGACAATGCATCAAATGAAAATGAGGGAAAGATGTAAGTTGAAATGTTACAGAGCAAAAATGTAACAATAATAGCAACTTTATAATGATTGTACATACTGTGTAGTTGGTGTAGTCCTGCTCAAACAAGCCCCGAGAGAAGGACAATTCTGCAGCTGTTTAAGGTGTTTACAGTGGTCTTTAGTCAAAGCTGCTGGATATAAACCCTGCTTCCAAACTGCTTCAAACATGCATAACATATATTTTAAATAGCAGTTTATAAAGGAACATAATTTCACCTGGTCATAGTCATATTTTGAAACCAAAACTTTGCGGATGCACTTGTTTCTGGTGGGTTACAAGTGCTGATACAATGTGCACAATAAATAAATAAATAATATTATCATAAAATGCAATGATGCCGGATCACAGCTTATATTCCTGTTCTGAAATCATAAACATGCTGTGTACATGTCTGAAAATGTGAGCAAATAAATAGAAAAAGAGTACTTGGAACAAAGCTTAGCTGACCAGTAAATACACACAATTCACTAAAAGGAATCAAATCTGAGGAAGCTACAGGCAAAACGCTCACAGTGTGCCACGGACTTCTGATTTATTTTTCATGGTATGTTCCTGTAACCGTGTGCACCTGAGAATGTGTTTAGGCTGTGAACAGGGGAACCCTGATGGCCACACACATTTCACTATTACTACACCTAATGAGGAATGTGCATGTGTTGTAGGCTGATGCCTTTTGAGTATTGTACTTTTATTAAGTTACTTTTTAAGCTTTTTCAATTTAAACTCTTAAGAATATACTGATCGAAAAAAGAAAAGAAAAAACTCAAGCCAGTAGGCTAAATAGTTTGAGCTATCTTGACACATTGTCAGTGAGGACTATGAAGTCAGTGTTTAAAGTATTGTGAAGCATTATATACAGAAAAAGAAGATCTTACCCTTCACATTCAAATGACAAAGCACTCTTCAGAGCCTCCTGAGTCCATTTAAAAAAAAAAAACATGTCATTGCCAGAGTCTTTTACAATACTCACTTGAGCTTTTACTGTTTTGGTCCTGTTTGTTATGTAAGAGTGTGGCAGTGAAATCTCTGAGGCTGTGTTGTTTTGGATAAATGTCTCTTTTATTTTATATTCTGGGCTGAAAAGAGACAAACTTAGTTTGAGATGTATTTGTTCAGTGTGCAGATTTGCAGCCTAAGAACACACATTATAGTATCTCTTTCCCCTCTGTGGTTTAAAGTAGAGGAGTGTTGTAGTTTGTGAGGAGTGAGGAAAGGGAGAAGAACAGACAGCCTGTGTGTGTGTGTGTGTGTGTGTGTGTGTGTGTGTGTGTGTGTGTGTGTGTGTGTGTGTGTGTGTGTGCGTGCGTGCGTGCATGTGTGTGTTTGTGTGTTTATGCTTGTCTGCAGTTTATTCACATACTTAAGTCGGAAGAACCCCAAAACACAGAAGAGCTTTGTCTACAGGACAATAAACTACTACCAGCTGCAACCAAAAGCAGAAACTAGTAAAGATCTATTAAAAAGATGAAAGGGCATAGAAGACACCAATGGGTGTCTGTTTGAGCTGAACATCTCTATAGGATGAGTCAAGAAAGGAACAAACAACAATGGGTTAACCTTTAATCACCATTGTACTTTATATTCTAAAGTCAACTGGACTACTTTAAGTACACGCTGGTTTGGACATTGGTATATCTTCATTTACAAAGCCATGCAGGGAACGATTCCAAACTACCTTTCCTCTCTTTTACCTCAGTGTAAAGTGAGGTGAAGAAAGCTTTTAGGTTTTCTGCACCTTTTACTTGGAAAAACCTGCAGTCTGATTTTAAACTGCAGAACTTAGTTATTTTGAATGTTTTTACATCCTTAGTGAGAAGTCTTGAATCCAAACTTTCTGTTTGCAACTCTTTTAAGTTGCTGATGATTTTCTTAATTTGTAATGTGTACTGTATGAGTTTGAGTGTTTTTGTTGTTCCGACTGTGTGTTGCTGCCAATATTGACCAGATCTCCCTTGAAAAAAAGATCTCTGATCTAAGTGGGACTAACCTGGATACATAAAGGTTAAATAAACTTCAATAAATACAAACAACCTTAGTTAAAGTTTAAGTAATTGTGGCATCCAAAGTCTCCATAAATAATATATCACTTATGTTGTTTTGGTATAATGAAAGGATACAGTGCCAACCAACTGGAACTCTGAATAGTTGTCACACTTCCAACTGCTGAACCAATGGCAGCGCGAGTCCTTCATGTAGGTGAACATACCTGAAAAAAAATTAGGTACATACAATTACAACTCAGAATAAGATTGAAAACATCTCTGGTGATGAACAAATCAATAATGTTTGGATGAATAAGTAATACTGTAAAATAGAAACAAGTAAAAACTGCTCAAGTGGTTTGGTTTCTGAATGTGCAGCTCATTGCTCCTGAAAATCTTTCAGGATGTTGCAGTATTGCGCTTGTCTGTCACAAGAGGAATAACTTCTTTTCAAGAAGACAAATAATTGAAAAAAGAACTAAACATGAAATGATATTCTGAATGACCAATGAAGAGTTTACTAACGGTTTTAATGCTGAATGACAGCCTGTTTCTGTTTCATTTGCAGTGACACCATGTCTTCACAGTTAAGTCATCTGCATGGTCTGCTTGAGTTGATGTTTTTCTTTCTGCATCTCTTGTTAACACCTTGTCAACTTTCATTATATGTGAATGTGAGCTGTCTTGGGTGAGTGTCAGAGCTTAATGAATGAGCAGGTAAAATGGATAACGAGCAGGTAGTTTTAGGAAAAAGAACCCATGAGTGCTACAGCTTTTCCAACTCTGACAGAGAGAAACAGCAGCCGCCTGTTCTGAACCAAGACACACATCTGGACTGCTCACATCTCCAAACTCTAGAAACTGACACCGCTTTATGCATAAAGAGCCTGTGTGTGTGTGTGTGTGTGTGTGTACACCTGCCTATGTTGTGTGTGAGTGAGGCAGAGTCGGGGCTTTCCCTGTGCTGCTAATGAGGGGAACACAGCTTTCATTGAGTGTGTTGCTTTGGGCAGACATCCCCTGGCACCAAAAACACAGACGACCGCGGAAAGATGGAAAGATGATGGAAAGAACAACTTGACCAGAGAAGAAAAGAGAGAGAGAGAGAGAGAGAGAGAGAGAGAGAGAGAGAGAAACATGGATTGAAAGTTGAAGACAGGAAGAAGAAGATGCACAGACAGAAGCTTACTTGCTTTCCATTCAACATTTCTTTATGCAAAGTCCAGCGCACTCAACAAGAAAGACTGGACGTAAGAGGAAATCTTAGAAAACATTCTATATTGTAAAACGTTGTTGATGTTTCTTTCTTGTCAAAATGAAGCGGCTGTGATTGAGGCACATAAAGAATTAACTTTAGCTTGAAAGTAATTCCTAATAAATTCAATTTGAATTCTTAAAGAAGTTCGGGTAATCTAGGCATCTCTAAAAATATACAGACAGCTTAATTTGTTTTGGGCAACTATACATGAGATTGAAACAACGCTATTTGTTCCCTGTTTTTAGATAAAAAGTCCCCTTTTGTGTTTTTCAGTCATGACCATTATCCCTGTTTAAATGATCATATGTTTACTGTCAAATTAATAATCTTCAAAATCTTAAAAGAGGCGTCCACCAAGGCTCTGTCCTTGGTCCCCTTTGTCTTTACCATCTACATGCATCCCCTTGGTCAGAACATCTGCCACTTTGATCTTAGCTTCCATTGCGATGCAAATGACACCCAGCTGTACTAAAACATCTACCCAGCTCCCCCTCAGTCACTTTCCAACTTCCTACACAGCATAAAAACAGGGATGTCACCTAACCTTGTCAAACTGAAGAGCAACAAAACAAAGCTCATTGTTGGATCCTCAGAAGTCCTAAACCTGGGTGTCATTCTCGACTCCACCCTATCATTCCATAAATCTATGAATCTCTGCATGGCCAGTCCCTCAAGTATCTTTCTGACCTCCTCCAACCCTACACTCCATCCCGCAACCTCCAGTTCTCTGACACTGCTTTACTCTCCATTCCTTAATCCAACATGCAGACTTTCGGTAGCAGAGCCTTCAGTGTGGCAGCACAAACTCTCTGAAACTCTCTCCCAGGATATATACAGTATATCCACAATGCTAAATCCTTGGATGCATTCCAAGAAATTAGTAAATTGTGTTGTCTTTTTTTTGTGTTCTGATGTAAAGTGCCCCTTGGCCCCTTGAAAGGCACTATAGAAATCCAAGCTATCAATATTGTTAAGGTGACAACCCCAACCATAACAAAGTTGTTATTTTAACACAAACTATGATTATGCCACAGCCTTACCAAGTACCTCAAATGAACAAAGTCTTATCCAGAGCATTGTTAGGTCATAACGCAAGAGAAAAATAAAATAGAACTCCCATAGCTACTATCTCTTCTCCGGCAGCATGATTCCTCTTCTCATGTTTCATGCAATTTCAATAATCTAATAAAACTTGCAGGTCTTTGGAGCTTTGAGGAGGGGATATTGGCATGATACTGGGGGTGATATAAATCAAAAATGTCATAATTAATAATCTGTGGCAACTCCTTGAACCCAGAGTGAGATTGTCTGTTTTGCGACGAGGCAAAATACTTCAATGCTTTTGCAAAAAAAAAACAATCGATACAATATTTTCCTGTTGTCATGGAAAGAATGGCGAAGAATACAAAAGCTCTTTTGTTAAGGATGAGAAGAAGAAGAGGGAAAGAGAAACAGGCGAGGGCACTCAAACAGAGCGACACAGAGACAATGCAATGTAGAGATAATGCGAGTCAGGCAGTGAGTAGAAGCAGAAGAGTAAACTGTAAAGAGAAACAGGCTCCTGGAAAAAGACAATCATAATAAGATCTGCTCCAGTCTGAAAGGAAACCTTGTTGTTGAGATTCCAAAACCAACACTGACCACTTTTCTCAGCCATCTGACACTTATTCTGCTGCAGTTTCTGCTGCCTGAAAACTCACAGAGCTTGTCCACTGAGACCCCCATCTAATAAAACTCAACTTTCCATGTTTTATCCAATAAAAATCGGAATTTTTGCTTCTGCTTTATTTCAAGAAAGTGCTGCTTTCCTTTCCACTGACTTTGCTTCAACTGGATTTGGTGTCCTAAATCTGTTCACACTTGATTTGTGTAGTGAAATATGTGCCTCACCATAGTCTGTGTGGAAGATCTGTCGGACCAGCAGCAGGAACCACTCCTTTGTCAGACCACCCATGTCCAGCCCGGCCTCCCCGACAAACGTCACTCTGAGCTTCTTCTTCAGGTCGCACCTCTTCCTCATCAACTACAGACGGTGGAGGAGACAGACTTAAAAAATTTTTTTATTTCTATTGTTGCTATTTATCTACTACTAACTCCCACAGCTGTTCACCTAAAATATAAGCATGTAAATATCATAATTCTGGTATCTTGAACTTCTGCAAACAAACGCTCTTCAAAAAAGATGCAAACTGTGTGAATCTTCAAAACTTTTAGACTTTTTGGATGAAATACCCCTTTTTGAAGACACTAACATTTAACATCAGTTAGGCTTCTGAATTGAGGGTTTGAATCAGATTTACAGTCAGGTTAAGGTTAGACTACGGGTTTGAGGTTCACACATGAATGTAGAAGATTAAAGGCCCATTTTATCCACATAAATGGCTCTTTAATTAAAAATAAAAACTAAAATGTTTCCAGACCTTAAATTGCTTTTTTTTGTTTGTTATCACAACCTCATAATGGCTTACATTGTGAGTTAAGATTGAAGACATTTGCCTGCATTTGTGAGTTAACGCAAACAAGTAACTAACAGACAAATATGCAGCAACACTACAAGTAAACTATAAATTACAATTATTGTTTTAGAATCCAATTGTGGTTAGCCTGTTTGATGTGGGGCCTGAAACATATTTCAACGAAACAAGCCGTGTTCTGCAGTATCTCAGAGCTACTGATGTGTGGTCTCAGATGATGAATGCTATCACAAAGATCCCGATGGAAAAGGAGCGTTATGTGTCAAACAGGCTCACGTGTTGCCAAAAGATGTTTCATAACAAAAAAAATAAAAATGTTGGTTGTGCAGTAAAAAACAAGTCAACATGCAAACATGTGTTAACTTTTTCAGCATTTTCCCTGTAAACAAGACTTCTTTATCTAAGTCTGCTGTCATGAGCACGCTGGCTTGAAAACATGTTAAACAGATGTGATACTAAAAAGTGTGTAAATATTTCCGTGTACTTGCCTCATCCAGTGAGTCGCTGAGGAGCTGTGCTCGTCGTACTTTAATGTTGAGGAACAAAAGGTTCATGTCCACTCTCTGCCTGCGAGAAACCTTACTGACCAGGCATTGCTGTAAAACACACAAATTAAGAGTCTGTAGACACTTTCTGAATCATTTTTTTCTGATGTTTTAATTTAATTTGTCTGTAACTGTACTTCAAATGATGTCCTCAATTCCTCATAAGGTAATTTAGATAAAATGCTATTTCTGTTTGGTTTGGAAATGGGCGTTATCTTTAAGTATAAGGATCTATCAGGTACTAAATGCTTTGAAATTGCTCCAGCAGTTTGCCTCAGACGGCAGCATAAAGTCTGCACTGTAAGAGCTTTAATTTAATCCCTTGACATCAATGCACCAAATCAAATTACATCCACCAAAAGTGCATGTTTTGGCTGCTAACAAGCTATTAATATTATTTGAAGGGGGCACAGATAGCCAAGCCATTAGGTCGTGCCCCTTGTCTTTACAGACGGGTGACCTTGGTTCAGGTCTGGCCTGTGACTCCTTTCCTGCATGTCATTTTCCACTCACTCTTCCACTATCTATCCACTGTCCTATCCTATAAAGGCAAAAGCCCAAAAGTAAAATACAAAAATGTGTAATATACTACACATATATATATATATATATATATATATATATATAAATTGTATATAATTTAAAGTATATTGAATCATAACAAAGAGGATTCGTAATGATATTACTCAATTTTCTAAGGTAAAAAATTTAAGATTTAAAAAAAAATCTTTACCAGAAATGTAGCCAAAATGGGAGGGGCTAAGATATGTTAGGGGAATTAACTTTTATCATTAATGTTATGTTAACAAGTAGGCTAAAATGTAATTTTTAACTTATGCGAGTTTGTTTGCACATAGGCCTTACCCTGGCTTGACTGATCATCTGTTGCTCCGAGTCTTTCTGGATGATGGCTTTCTTCACCACAGTCGAAAGGATGAAGGGAAACTGACAGAAGGAAAATCTGAGGAAGGACAAGAAGACTTTTGATCAGTTGTGCCAACAACATTTCAACATACTGTACATATTTCTTTAAGACGAGAAAAAAAAAAAACTCTTCAGCCACTTGAGTTCCAGAATGTTTTCCAAATCATCAAGCGTCATCCAAATGAGCAGGCTCTGAAATGTACTCTACAAGCCTGAAATGAGTCGAATCCCCCAGCACAGCAGCCAGGGACTTGAAGAGCAGATTGTTTGAACTGTAGATCCATTTCCTATATCAGACCGTTAACGAGGCATGACGCAGCATGAAACAGACTTCATGGCTTCTGAAAGTGTTTCCACGGTTTGGGATAAACTGCAGCTGTGGGAAAGTTTTTCTTGTCCCCACTGAGGAGGGGATACTCAACCTGATTCCCAGGAATCTTCAGGGGGAGCTAAGGTCCAGCTAACTGAGCTAATGTATTGTCACATCTGTTAGCATTTCTGGTCCTTATTGTTAGCAGACGAGACCAGAGGCACTTTCTCTATGAGAATGTAAAACCCGCTGTTCTATCCCTTATTACACATTAACGATGAGTGGATACAAACCAACGTGTGCGCTCTAGTTACATCAGAAATAATTATAATTTCACTGAGCTGCACTGGACAAACTGAATGTTTAGACCGTTGCCTGCCAAAAAAAGCAACCTGAAGATGTTACACCAAGCTTCTTGCACCTTTGTAAGGTATATTTTTTTAAATATAATTAATTAATTCTTTCACAATGAAAATTGAATGTTAATAACATAATGTGTATGAGCTCAGAAACCAAGATAATTGACCTATCCTATAATTTATGGCAATTAGAGATAATTCTGCTCAGTTTCTGAAACTTCTTTAAGTAATTAGATATATGTTATTTCTGTAAATACTAGAGTACCCATGAGCGTGGGTTGATGTTGTTATGGAGAAAACTCCCACAGAACTGTGAAATCAAAAATCTAGGATATTGTAGAACAACATAGCAAACCTAATTTCTCATAATTCATTGTGTTTGCGTGAATGCCTGGTTTGTTAAGCTTGTTTACGTTTATAAAAATGCAACTGTTACTTATCGTGTTGATGATCTCAGTATTTAGACGGTGTTGTTTGTGCACATGAATTCAATCATTCATCATCGTGTTGTCTTTCTTAAATTGAAGCCTAAACTGAGGGGACCATTGCATTTGACTCTGGAAATTAAAAGTAGTACCCACATTTTTATTAACGTAATACAAGCAATCCAGGCCTTTTTGTGTTTAATATCTTGAAAAAAAATGTTTATCCAGACCTGTCAGGTGAATGTGGCTAAGTGTAATTAGATTTTTGACCACAGTGTTTCCCCTACCATTATATTAGGGGGGCGGCCCGCCTAATGAGTTTGAGTTTTTGCAGTTTACAGTATTGTCTATGGGAATAACTAATCCAGACTCATTGCTTTATTCTCTTGGCCAAAAACACTCAAATCTATTACTCAAGGGGCTGGAAATCATATCTTTGAGAATACACCGCTCTGGACTTATTTGTCGAATATAATTTTAAACCTAACACAGTCTTCAAGTCGGAGTGCCAACAAAAACCCTCATTTTGAAGACATACAGAGAGACATCTTGAACACGTTTGGTTGTTTTGGTAAAAGCCAGCTCAACATTTTAGACAGCCAGACCATTTAATTATCAAACTAAAAAAGATGAAGACACAGACAGACGTCTGACCTATTGGAGTTGCCATAGTTCTGCCAGGTCCTGTACTCCTCCATGAAGTCTATGTGCTCCAGAGTGATGTTGTAGAAGTCAGTGAAAGGCATTATGGGAGGAGAGGAGACACTGTTGGCTGCATCTGAGGAGAGAAGAAGGAGGCAGAATTTAAACTTAAATGTAAACTATAGGTTATGTGTGTGAAGGTTATGGGGTACAGTATATGCATGTGTTTGTACAGTATGTGTGTGTGTTTCTATACTCACTGAACAAACCCAGGACTTTGGTAGCAGAGGGGACCCACCAGGAGCACTTTGCCAGGGGAGGAAGTTCATCTGGTTCTGCAGGTAACAGACGGGTGGAGATGAACTGCAGGAGGCGCTCTACCAGCTGCCTGAACCGCCTCGCCGACAGCCTGACACAGACAAAGTAAGAATTGGTTAACATCAGTGGCTTGGTAGACTCAAAACTGCCCAAACAGCAATTCACAAATCCTGAAATACACACACGCACAAAAATAGACTCTGCAAAGAGAGAAAAAAAATAGCAGCATTGGATGAAGAAATCTGTTTCTTTGGTACAAAGAACCAAACAGAACTTGTAATTTGAAGCAGCTCGCTCGTAAATCATCACCACAAACATGATGAGTTCTTCAGGACTCCTTGCTGAGAGACACGCACAAAGGCAGGCTTACATTTCTAATTGTAGGTTGTGTAATAGGATTTAAAAGCTACAATATTAAATCAACCGGCTGGAGTTTTATTGTGTTCAAAATTAGGGAACAGCAGGAACAAAAACATGGGAACACTTTCAAACTTACACTGCAGAATTAGGGTCAGGGTTAGCACAAGCTGTGATCTGGATGAAACTGGTTCAAAGATTGGACCATGCAGGTCTCTCTGGCTGTTAGCCTTTTAATGATTCATTCACCTTTTAGAATATTTGTAGTTGAGGGGATACATATCATAAATGAAGCCTAGATTTATAGTAAAGAACTTACATTTATGAAATACTTTAAAATATGTTAGATAGGCAGTTTTCAACACTTTTTGCAATAGATAGATAAATATGATAAATATGTGTTCTCATCAGCTCTACATTTGGCTTCCATGCGTACAGTATGGGCTGTGGACTACATTAGTACAAGTCATGCTAAAGCTGTAGTCTTTTTTTCCAGGCAGGTTGCCATGCACATTCCGCGCAACTCTCTGATCAGGGTCGGCCAATAATATTGCAGAAATGGATGGTCAGCATATTTGAAATGACAAAGGTGTCCCTGCCATTTCTGTAGCATGAAATCTCTTCCACAGACGAGAGCGTGAAAAAAACAAAATAATGTAACCACTTCAGTTATTTATCAGAATTTGGGTTTCTTCACCCCCACAGGAGAGATTTTTTCTTCCCTAAGCTGAGTGATATATTTGTATTATGGAAAAGCCTCAAGCCTTAAGATAGATACGGAAACATTTTTGAATTTACATCAAACAAATGAACCCTGCTGCAAAGACAAGTTGACAAGACTAAGACTTAGCCTACATATCTCAAGTTGAAGAACCCAATAGAAATTCCCCTCAAGACTCTTTACAATCTGTTTCACATACAACGATCACTCACTTCAGTTGAGATGTGCTTCTTAATGTCTGTGACATGATACAGTTTCGTTATATCTGTGGTTTGATGGGAAAACAACAAGTGAAAGAAAGGAAGACAGTGACAGGTGGATACAGTGAAATACACAACAACATACAGAGAAAGCTATGAAAAACATACATACACAGTCCAGAATACATTCATTCACACTCAGACTTACTTTTTGATCCAGTGAACCAGGAAGTGGAGGTCAGCCTCAGACAGAGATGCGATCTGCCTCAGCAGGTGAGCATAGATCACGTACGTACTGGTGCTGGAGTACTGGGGGTTCTGCAGAGATAGTACAGAAATGATCAGATTTTGACAGAGCTAACTAACCTGAATCGAGGTACACTTTAAAGTGCAACAGGGGGGGTTTTCTATCTCTGTTGTGTTTTAGGACAAAGTTTCCTTACCAAAACACAATCGATCACTTCAAGGCTTTTAATGACATGCAAACAAAATGAAAACCTGATTTAAGTTTTTTTTTTTTTATACACACACACACACACACACACACACACACACATACACATATATATATATATATATATATATATATATATATAAAAAAAAAAAAAAAAAAAAAAAAAAAAAAAAAAAAAGCCTTGTCAGGCTTGAACGTTTTTTGCACTTAATCAGGCCGGAGTCTAGACGTCTAGTCACATGATCACAAAACTAAGTTTCTCTCTATATAGAGAGAAACTTAGTTTTGTGTCATGTGACTAGACGTCTAGACTCCGGCCTGATTAAGTGCAAAAAACGTTCAAGCCTGACAAGCTGACAAGCTGACAAGCTGACAAAGCTCCCAAATGAGATTTTATTTAAATAACAGTGGCCAGTGCGCGGACAAGCCCCCTTCCAGCAGCAGCAGCAGTACATTAGTTCGGCATGCCTCAGCATCTACGTCGCTGCCCATTGGTGTGTTAACAAACATGCAGCAGCAGGTAGCCTTAAGAGCAAGTTAGATAACGTTGACTTAAAAATCGTTAAGTTAGTTAGGCTATGTGTTAGATGTGAATTTTAAGACAAGGCAACCCATGAAATATGTTCTCTACAAGCTGGAGGTCGCCACCGAGCACCGGTTTCATTGTACTGTATGCTTGTGATGGTGAACAGAGTGCATGCTGCTGTAGCTCGTCAGTTTTCAGCATGTGTGCTTCCATAACTACGGAGCCCAAGGACGAGTCATAATAGCCTGCACTGGGGCCTGTCATTACTACCTTAATACCACTGTTGTAAACATTATATTTGCTGAACATAATGTTAGAGTCTATAGAATGAGACAACTGAGATGAAGTAAGGTCATAAGCTTTTCAAATAATGATGTCATCGCCTTGTTTAGAGCTCAAGGATCATGGGAAGGGCATTGTAAGAAAAGAAAGTAAAACAGACTTAAACTGGATTTAAATGACTGTTGTTGCCATGACTCCCTATCACCATGAGATCTGGTACTGTCTGTTAGATTTGTGTTTGGATGAAATAAAAAAATACAACTGGCAAAGATGAGGTAATGACAAATATCTTCATTCAGGGTGTTAATACAAACAAGAAGAAAGGGGAAGAGTTGAATGTGTAGCTTGTAGAGCTCATAAGTGAGGGAAAGTCATCATCAGACAGGAAACCAGCAGTCCTCAACTCCAACATGACCTCACCATGTCCAGATCTGTGCCTATGTGTGTGTGTGTGTGTGTGTGTGTGTGTGTGTGTGTGTGTGTGTGTGTGTGTGTGTGTGTGTGTGTGTGTGTGTGTGTGTGTGTGTGTGTGTGTGTGTGTGTGTGTGTGCTGTGTGTGTGTGTGGTTGTGTTCTCCAGAGAGTTGGCAATCCAAGCGAGTCTTCAAAGTCAGTTGGGACAAATTCAGACATTTGGTTTGGGTGCATGTGTGTGTGTGTGTGTGTGTGTGTGTGTGTGTGTGTGTGTGTGTGTGAGTGTGTGTGTGTGTGTGTGAGTTTGTATGTGCACTGATGAAGCCTGGAACCACAGTGGAACTACTGCAGATTCCTGTCTTTATCTGATTCTAATTCTCAAAACCATATATGGAAATGAGACAGGAGGAAAGTAGACAGAGGCAAAGGGAGAAAGAAAATCAAGGGGAAAGAGGAAAATAGAGCAGGAGAGATCAAAAATAGGATCAAAGGCGGCTCAAAGAAAAAAAACGCACAAAGGGGCGAAAAAAAGACAGAAACAGGGGCAAAATAAAAAAAAGGACATAAAGAGATACAAGGTAAAGATTTCTGTCCACCAGCACTGACGAGAGCAGAATAAAGAGGGAATTTAAGAAAAAAGAAAATCCAGTACTTAAGAAGGATATATGCGCACATTTAACAAATTAGTTATAATTAAACTAAAATAATTGATTCTTGAGCTAAGTAGCAGAATGAGCACAGGACAGATTTCGGTTTAAGATCAGTTACAGCTTTGCAAAACTAATCGACTTGTGGTCCTGTTTATTGTTGCTCAGTGTGATGCCCAGCTGACACACAGCATGAAAAACAAGTGAGCCCCAAGTGGCAACCTCTAATGTTGAAAAATGAAGCCAATGAGGAAGAGCAAAAAAAGTTCCTGGAGTGTCCATGGGCTCCCTGTGGTGGTACGCAAAGGAATCTCCACAATATTAAAAGAAAAATTATCTTATCTTATCTGTCTTGTATCTATTGGGTTGTATCTATATCAAATGTGTTTTCCCCTCTAAATTAATCTAGTTTTTGCAACAAACAACTTCAATCTTCTCAATATATGCTCGCGCGCACGCACAGACATAAACACCAGGAGTACGCCTCGCGTTTTGAAAGTTCCACTCGATATTCCGTTATTTAAAGGAGTTCAGTACTGAATGAACAGAAAGCAGCTGTAAGCCTATATTAACAGTTATTCTGTTATTTATTTGGAGTTCAGAACAGAATCGGTGGCAAGCAGCTGTACATTCACATTTTTAAAACGGAGCCAGGAGATGCTTCCGTTATGATGCGTCGCTCACCCTCTCTCTCTTGCTCTTGCTCTGAAGCTGATGTGATTGTGCTCTATTTTGCTGTGTCTTAACTATGCGCAGGAGTCAAGAAGGATTTTTTTAAAGGGAGTTTTGCTATGTTGAACGCAGAGCCTTATAATACAGAGGCTCTGGTTGCATGGAGCCTGCTCTCTCTCGCACGCCTGCACTCTCTCATGCGCTCAGGCCGGAAATATACATGGGCCCAGGTATCGTCTTTGTGTGGGAAATACTGGAGACTAAATATTCTCAAACAGGTTGTTGGTATAAAGTTGTGATTTTTATTGTGCTTTTATTGCTTGATTTGGGCAAATGTCAGTGTTGTGTGGAGTTTAAGTGCCAGTTCTAGTTCTAGTTCTAGCATTAGCCCTTAGTAGTCCTACAGTGTGCCTGCCAACAGTCAATAATAGATAATATTATTTTTATGAATACATTTGCCTCCTGCGTAAAATGTGTGTAGAAATAGGCCTAAAGTGTATTTCAACGTTTGCCATAATGGTGGTACTTGGAGAGCCAAATATTTTCAGAGGTGGTACGGAGTCTAAAAAGTTTGAGAACCAATGTTATATACTATACACTGTGCAGAGGTTAATTTTCTTTAGACTCATCCATTTTCATGGCATTAAGGGAAAGACTTTTGCATAATTAGAGGTGTGTCTGATTTGACTTACAGGTAAGCCCGTTGTAGGTGGTTGCCAGGATGCTAAAGACTTATAAGCCCACCTCAGAGACCATTGGAGACGTCACTGAGGCTACGTCCATGTTTTACACAGTCTATGGTTTAGACATCTCATTCTAAACAACAAGTATTGGAACAGAGCCTTTCTTAATGGTGTGTTATGCCTCTTGCTTCAAATATTGCACAAAATATGTATGGGATAAATGTCAAACTTAATGTGGGAAGTGATTACAACATTTCCAAATAATAGCAGTAAATAAAAGGATGAACATTGAATATGTTCATAGATGTACAGTAGTTTGATTCACCAATTTTCTTTTCTATGCAGATGATGCAATGCTTAATGTATGTAAAGTTTTTGTTTTCAAATGCTAATAGAATAACGATTGGCGACAGACTTATATCCAGAATATCCGGTTTGATTTCAACTAGTTGCCTTTGTTGTATGTCATGTAAGTTTAGACGAGAGGAAGCCATGGACTATCAGCAATTTAAGGATTTCAGTCCTACCTGAACAAGAATGAAATAAGCTCGCAGGTCATCCTTTGTCCGAGGCCTGAAAACAAAACACAAAAACAAGGCTTTCATCAAAAAGGGAACAACTGCACTGCCAACATAGCACAACAAAACTAAGCTAGGTTTGCTGTGTCTTTGTGATTAAACACAATCGAACAGATCAATGAGAGGGACTGAGGAAGTGGCATAGTTAGAACTGATACAGTCATGTATCCAGCACAGTTATACATCCATGACTATATTATTTGCTTTTAAGTGTTGGATGTCAAAGACACTGTAATTATATTTTAAGTTAAAGAGAGAAATATCAAGTTTGAGCTTTAACTGAAATTAAGCTAATGAAATGTGTGCATGCTTTTTAAAAGGAAGACATGTGAGAGACAGTGATCTCACCCTTTCCACTCCCTCAGCAGGCTGTTGATGATCCCTTTCAACACTGACTTCTGGATATCCTGAGGCTTAACATGAAGACAAAAACCCTTTCAACTTCCAAGACATAAAGAATCAGAAGGTTTAATCAGCATTCCTGAATACAGACCCACAAAGAGAAAAACTGGTTACAATATTTCTGTAACCTTTTCTGTCCTGGATTGATTCATGTTTGAAAAGTTAGACGGCTGTTTAATGCATCCACTGATTGTACTGAGGTGACGAATAAAATATATTTTGCTACAGTGTGTTTTGGGATGCCATTAATCAGCATCGCCTGGCAGCTCACCAAGTCACAAAGTATGTAAAGTTTTATGATTGTACATAAACTTATACTGAGGCAATAACTATTGCGCACACTTAATGTGATTCAATTCAACCCTATCAAATATCCACTTGGTCAGCAGTGGTAGTTTGAATCTCAATTATGAAACTGAAGGGATATGTACATAGGAGTTGGGCCAGAAAGAAACGCTAAAGAAAGCTATAACATGAGCTGTAGAGGCTGCAATGTTATCCTTGGGGACGAATGTGCCCAATCAAATACGATTAAAAGTTCTTCTGACACTGACAGGGTGAGATTTTCATATAAAATATAATTTATATGACAACTTCACTTTTTATTTAGCATTTTTATGTAACGCAGACAACCAGCAGATCTCTCTACAAAACAAATACCACAGTGATTGATTGATTTGGTCTGTACTGATTTGTGACTTTTTTAGGTGTTATTTGAATTATGTATGAAAAGTAATACCACACACACACAAACACACGAATCATTGATGAAAACCAACAACTCCTGTGTATTTTAAGGTTAAATTATTATTGTTTTTTACACCGGAGTCTGGTTGCTTTTAAAAGACCAATACAATGTGTGTGTGTATTTCAACCTATGTGTGAGTAGCATGTTCAACAACAAGAAGTGTAAAATTGAATTTCCCCTAATGGGATAAATAAAGTATATCTTCTTCCTTCTTCTTCTTCAAAAAGGATGTTAGTGGTTAAAAAAGGGTCTCTGTTGTTTTTGTAAGTTCCTTCAATTATCTTTTACGTAATGTGGGAAGGATCTTTAAAGTGAATTTTTCTGATCGGGCATATAATCCCTGAATGACCTGATCTCCGGGAGCAGCTCATGAACTTTTTTTTTACCCCTAAATGATAAAGATCCCCATAAGGTAAATCAGGGTCCTGTTTTTTTTTTAAAAAAACACCTGCATTCCCCTTAAAGTCATTAAATAGAAACGTATTCTGAAAGGCACATAGACAAGGAAGCAGTTTGACAGTAGATATGAGGCCCATTTTTCTTGTTTATGAGGTTGTGTTTTTGTATGTGTGTGTGTGTGTCTGAGTGTGTGCTTGTAGCCGTGGTCTTGTTGTCACAGGCTTACTGTGCTAAGCAGTGCGTCGTAAACAGCGTTGACAAACTTTGCGTTGACTCCGGAGTCGTCTATGGTGTTAAATGATCCGTTCGCCTCTCGCTGAGAAAGGAGGGAGAGAAAAAGAATTAGGAAAGAAGAGGAAGGCGAGGGCATGAGAGAAAAGGAAGAAAAAAGCAGAGGAAAAAAAAAATGCTTTCCCATCGTAAAGAGGTTATGGCGTCTGGAAAATTTTAACAGCATCTAAAGAGTTTTCTCACAACAGGCATTCTTTATGAGTCAGATTTTGTGTACGTGTGTGTGTGTGTGTGAGTGTATGAATGTTGGGTGTTAATGTGTGTACCTTAAAGGCAGCGTTGATTTCTATAAAAGAGTCAAAGGTGGTCAGGTAAAACTCTCGGACCTCCCTCCAGTCTCCTGATTGGACGGCATGCTCCATGTCCTCTCTGAAACACAAACACACTCGCCGTGTTCAACATCCCAAACCCAGGCCTGCAGCTGAATAACTGTAAATATTTATTGTGAGGTAGATTTTGCAAACTCACTGAAACTCCTTGGTGGTCTTGGTACGTAAGGGGATGATGGGGTCACAGGGGAACGGCGCTTTGACCTCGGGGGGCAAAGTGTCAATGGAGAGCCGCTGCTTTTGACGAACGTCACTGCAGATCGGAGGCAGCTCTCTCCCTGGGAGAAAGACACAAGGAAATGTTTTCTTACATTGTCAACGGCCAAGATCTCAATGAGTGATACATTTAACTGGACAGGACACAATCAGCAAAGGGATATGAGTTATCGCTGGTCAACAGGAGATGGCAAAATCCAAACTTAATGAAAGTTCCTCAGAAGTTTTAATTGTTGTACCAAAACCCTTTTTTGCAATCCAAGATTCAAAATCTTTCTGAGTTACAGCAGCGCTCATACATAGAGTAAATAAATAAATATGTGTAATTTAATAGTATGAGTAATACAGAATAAAAAAGAGTTCAGATTAGAACACCAGCTGGATGAGAATATTAATAATATTAAATCCTGTCCCCTTGAGGTGTAGTCACTTTAGCCTGGTCCTTCTTGTTATCTGAACAGAGGAAGCACCTGGTCGAGCAGAAGCAGCATCATCAGATACCTCAGCTCAAGGCTGCGCAGGATAACATGGTTTATGAGGACATTTGAGTAAATTAGTTATTCTGGAGACGTAGCTTTTTTTCCCTTTCTATTGCACCTTACAACACTATACGTTGGTGCATGTGTGCTTCAATACCCAAATATCATCTTTGCAGTTGGACAAACCTCACTTTAACTAAGACCAACATTGTGAATCAAATGTCATTCTTACACCTGATGACTAAATGTCTCATCAATACTGGTAAACTCACAGCTAAGGGATAGAAAGGACCCTGGATGAGTCCCAAATGGCAGTTTGTCTGCTTTTAAATGAAGCTGACAGCATCATCACGAAAACCAAAGACATTTATTGAGTCACATAAAAAGTGATAGCCTATTTAAAGTTTGCTTTAATATAAATATTTTACCGGGAAAAACCAAGTTGTATTGGATCTTCATTCATGCTTCTGTTTTGACTCCATATGTTTTGTACCAGAGCAAAAACATGCATCTAAGTATAAATATGTAACTGAATCAGGATTATCCCCACAACGTTTCCCTCATCGCACTTGACTCTTAAGAGCTATAACTGCTTTCTCTTATTTATATATTTTTGATAAAGATATAGAATATACTGCTCCTAAAGCCTATCTAAGGCAGTGTATTAATTATCAGGTCTGCCTCTGCACTTTTCATTGAATCCTATATGCTGGCTGCCTTTTTAAGCTTCATATTAAAACAGTTTGTCTGAGTGAGAACATGTTTCCTTCTTACTTTATTTCAGCTTGAAAATAGTCATTCATTCCATTAAACATAATAACCAATCAAAGCAGAGAGCACTTTGATGAAGACACTATACTAAAGAATAAAATAGGCAGAACTGCAGCTAAAAATGTGTCAAATTTAAATTGAAGGAAAAATGAAAATTTGTTCCAACTTGTATGACACAAAAAGAAGATTGGAACTGTTCTTAATGTTACTAGCTAAAGACATGGAGAGGTGCTGATAACATGGTGCAAGAAAAATAAAGAATAACAGACAAGAGGAGGAGAGCAGTAGTGAGAGGAAGAGGTTATTAAATGTGTTCCTTTCAATTTCCCAAAAACACAAAACACATAACTGATAGTATTAATCCCATCCAAACACATGCACATGTCCACCCATCCTCCCACACTTCTGACCATCCATAAATTCTGTTTATAATTAGCCTTTCATTGTATCTGTCTCCACAGTAACAATAGTCACCATTAGGCCTGTCCTGGTGCATTGTGGGTGCTCATTCTGTTGGCATGGACAAGCAGAAGATAAAAGGGACTCAAGAACAGAGGCTGCCAGACGCATAAATTAGAATGTGATCAGTAATCCAAGTGGTCCTTGTTGCACTAGCAGTGGAAGAGCTAAGCTTTTCAATGTTGCCTGATGGTGGCGCTGAAGAAAGGTTTCACAGTTGTAGGAATTTAAAAAAGGTTCTTTTTTTAGTGTATAGTGTTGTGTTTCCTATTTTTTTCTTTTCAACATCAATCAATAAGACATTTTCATTGAAGTTGATGTAACACATGGAACTGTTCCTTTGATCAACTCATGAGTGGCTGGGACAACGCCAATCCTCAATTAACATTTATTTATTTCCAGATGATAACCAACAATTTCTGAAATTCTAGTCATCAAGTACCTCTTAATTAAACAAAACGAGGGTTAGGGAATAAAAAAATGACAATGGAGCATTGGGGGGTGGGGGAAGTATCATTAGATATTACTATGACTCATACTCAGGGGACAATTAATAGCATGGAACATAGCAACCTTGATTTTAAATGTATTTTAATTAGTTGTTTTGCTAGTAGATTTAGATGGAAAACTGATGACAACAAGAGAAGAAACTCCACTTAACCCTCACCCTTACATCATTACACCTTTATTCTCCATCCCCCTCTTTTGCTGCTTCCTAATTACCATTACTTTGTCAGCTTGTGTGTCACCGAATTTAGTCCTGACAGCAACAAACCTTGGTTGTCATGACACCCTTTAATCAAACGAGGCACCTTCAAGACCTCCAAGGACATCCTCCGCCCTCACCCATTGTTCTTCTCATCAAAGTTTGTTGCGATAAAGGCTTAGATTGTTTTTGATGAGCAGACAGAGGACAACCTTGTTATCCTCCTCAAGTGCTGTCGTCATGAGTCATCCATTCAATCATTCAAGATCTTGTTGAGGTCTGATGAGTGAAGCAGTCTACAAACTTCAAACTGCTTTTAACCATATGGTCATCTAGGTTAACAGTAAAACAAATTATGAGTGTTTTTCTGAATTATACAACACATTTTTTTGTGAAAACTTTACAGATAAGCACAAACACTTATTCCATGATTCATTAACCAATCTGCAAGGTGTCAAGAATGTTTTATATTTTAATCTCAGAACCCATCACCTAAAAGCTGAAAATAAATGCAACTGGGAGTGACTACCAAAATGTTTTGTCCTTCTATTGTAGCCTTAGGTAAGCAACAAAGGATTCTCGGCAGGGACTTCTGTTTTTGTTCGGGTCATCGTTTACAGACCAACTAGCAACTTTAAAAATTGGGAATGGAGTTGGTGTTGAGAGATGACGTCCAAGATCAGATTGTTAGTTGCATTGCAAACAGATGTCTGTTTGTAAGGTAATAGCTGACGGGGTTCAAGATTGCACAACAGCTGGTGCTTTCATCTTCCTTTGCTCTTCATATGGACTGTTTTCCTGAACGGCTGTTTTTCTGTAGTTCACTGAAACACTACTGGACAAATAAACTTCAGGTTAAATGTAAATTCTTTCAAAGGTTTAATTTTATGAGTGACTGCGTTGTCTTTGTTGACATTTTGAAGCTACCTTCTTTCAGCCTTCTTGGGCGAATAGCTTCCGAGCATTAGCATGTGGATAACTCCCTTCAAGGCCAATAATTATAGCACATGTATTCACACTAGCAGATAGTGGGTTTATATCTTCCAATTTTCAGAGTATCTGATTTACTGATTACCGTCAGGATGTTAAGATCACTTCAATATTTCAAACATACTTGCCTGAACCTTTTTATCTGACTTTGTTCTAAAATACGAGTCTACTTCTCACTTGATCTTAATTGTTATTCTACCGTTTCAACAATTTTAGATCCGTTTTACAGACAACTTGGCTCACAGCAATGTACATCTGAGAGTTAGTGAGTTTGGTTGGTCCTCACTGTATATTGATCAGTGGTTGACTGGCCAGGATGACAAGAAGCTCAGTCTTTCAGAGGTTGAGTGGCAGCATTCATTCATTTATTTAGGGATATCAGCAAGGCAAGACTTGAGGAATTCTTGAACATACCAGTAATATCATCTAGCGGGAAAGACAAGAAGAGCTGGTAATCGTCAGCATAGCAATGGTATGAAGAACCACGGGAGTGGATTATTATACCAAGCGGGGAGGTGAATTTTGAGAAGAGAAAGAGAGGCACACCTATGCACTTATTCCTTCCAAGATACTTTGAGTCTCCCTGAGAGTTAGAACATGAACCAGTGGAGGGCAGATCAATAAGATGCCTTCCATCTGGTATGAATAAGTCGTTTCCATTACAGCATGAAGTTAATTATGGCCTCATTTAGATTAAAAAAGACAAAAACAGTTAAAGCTTAAGGGTGTGGCAACATGATATGATGGCTATGCCTCTTCTGGTCTTGGAAAAGATGGCGACGGCACAATGCCGAACTAGGAGGTTTAAAATTGAAGACCCATAATATCAATGGGTTAAACTGTGGCATTCATATTTACTTCTTCAGTCAAAGGCTTGCTTAAGGATAACTAACAAACAGGCTTTGCTGAAGATGGCTTAAAGATGACAAAAAATCAGAAACAAAATTATATGTATACAGATCAAATATTTATCTTCCCAGCGATTCAGTAATTACCAAATTTATCAAGTCACTATATCTTGCTGCAATGTATCCCTCTCTGTTATCAATAAAGCTTTGTTTTCCTAACAAGCTTGGCTTCGATGTTTGTGTTTTTGGAAAAGGTGTCATTGTTTTCTGATCCTGGGATCAATTTCCGATGGATCCTTGCTCTAATCAATTTGGGCTATACAACAGGCTGGACGACTGTAACATGTTGGAGGAATGATACATCTTCTGTGTGTGTGTGTGTGTGTGTGTGTGTGTGTGTGTGTGTGTGTGTGTGTGTGTGTGTGTGTGTGTGTGTGTGCGTATTTTCACTTTCATATGGTTTTCATTTGGGGCGGAGGTTTGCATAATTATTCTGGCATCAGTAGCCGTGGTGACAAAGCAGGCTGGTGAGCACTCTGCTTGGTCTGCGTTCTAACCACAGTCAGAAATGACCTCGCCTTTAGACATCCGGGAAACGACATCCCCTTTAATGTCACAAGAGCTGACAACGGATAAACCAAATCTCCTTCAAAAACCTGAGTTTTATGTCTTGATTTTTTTGCCTTCAGCTTTTTTTTTGTCAAAGTAACAAAATGTATAACAACTTTTTTATTTTATACAAATAATCTCAGCATAGCTTTTACATATTTTTAAACTTTAAAAAAAACTTTCACTGATGTAAAATTAACAAAAGCAGGTTAAAACTGTGTGTTGGATGAGAAAGATATTTTCCATAAATAGCCTTTAACTATCCAGAGAGAGTTTCTGAAACTGCAGGACCAACAGGATCGACTACTTTAAACATGAACAGCTTTTCTTCTCTCTCCCCTATAAACCTTCCTCTGCTATGTATATACATGGCCAGCCCCACCAAAGTTGTTGCTAGCATCTCAGCATAAACAAGGTCTGAGTACATACATCAAGCGTATTGTAAACAGAGGAAGTAACACATCATTACATCCCAGACAGAGACCACAGTGTTTCAGAGAACAAAGACAGTCAGACATTGAATGCACCAATGAGCTGCTTTATCAGAAACAGTGGCTTTAAAATGATCTTTTGTTAAAACAAAATTAAGGACTCGTGGGGATTGAGTGTTTCATGCAGACAGGAGTCATGGATTAGATGTAGCAAAAGTAAAATTTGATCAAATGTTGCTTCATGCCGTGCATCAGATACAAGATGGAGCTATAGTAAGGGGCAAAGACAAATAGCATTTCTTTGATAACTGATCAATTAATATTCACCATTAACTAGTTGCTTATTAGCATGCTAATTAATAGCATACCAGAAGCTCAATTTGCAAATAATGGAACAGTATGAGTACTTCTTTTTAAGGACATATCATAAAGGCATCTCGAGAGGATCCATGCCTCTAAAAGTTACAGATGAAAACATTATTTGCAACTAAAACTGTCAAAGTGAAAAAGACATTTGACTTCATTTTCCTTTTGCTATTGTTTCATTCTCTTTTCTTCCTTTGGAAAGAAAGAAATAAGAAGATTTTTCTTGAAGCGAAGCACCAAATTAAAATGAAACAAAAGAAGAAAAAATAGTGTCTCTTCTAAAACCACTGTTTCTGTCACAGTCACATACACGAACATGCACAATATTGGCTTGAGTAATATGCAATTATGAGAGGGAAACAAATCATGTTCACAGCAACGTATAGCAATATAACGAGAAAATAGTTTGTAATTAATTCCAAAGAACAGGAAAATTTGTTTTTTTGCCTGTTTTAATCATTAGGAATCCTATTTTAAGAGGTTTTTTTTTAAGACTCCGGTTCAATACATCGAGCACAACTGGCCTGATAGATGAAATGATGTCCCTTAACACTGGACTTGAACTCACCATGTCTGAGCCACTGGGTGCTGGTCAGAGTGCCAGTCATGCCGCGAGTCAGGCCCCGCCCCACTGCGTCCCTCCGCTGGCTCAGTGTGGAGATGAAGGTGCCCAGAGATGGAAACGGCTGCTTTGGTCCTCTCCCAAAACCCTGGTGCAGGAAGATGACATCATTAACACAAGGCAAGAGAAGGTATGTTTAAAAAAACAAAGAAGGAAACAAGCACTGAACATCTCAACCTGAAACCTGAAAGGGAAACTATTATTAGCCTTTAGCCTGGCACTGGTGCTTACGACAGCTCCAACACACTTTCTCCACAATCACACATCCACATGAGCTAATGACAAAGGAAGCAACTGAAAACCAGGGTCCAATTCTGAGCTTAGCGTCTTGCACAAAGACACTTGAACTTCTATACTGAACGACACTCTTTCATCATTATTTTAGAGCTTTGAATATCATAACAATTCAATGTTAACACACGAAGTTCACAAGAATGTAAAGAAAATGTGAAGCTTAACTGACAGATTATTATGAAAAGATGCCCAAGAGGTATTTCTTATCCTGGCTGAAGAGCTTATTATATGTGTTTTTTATTGATTTTATTGGTTAGCTTTTTAGGTTTTTGTCATGTTTGAGTAGATTTCAAATAGTTTTCCTTCCCTCCAGTGTGTTATTTCTTGTTACATCTGTTTTGTAATCTGTGTGTCATGATGTACGTCAATCTCGCTGGCCGAAAACAAATCTACCCACAGGTACAAATAAAGTAGCCTGACCCTGACAGTTTCTTACAAAACAAAAGAGATTGATATTTTAAAGGTGAATGAGAATTATAAAGTCAAAGCTCAATTTAAACCATTTATACATATCTGCCAAGATATCAACTAGTTCAGGGATGGGCAACTTTGGTCACAGCAAGGGTCACATTCATTTAATTCTGACTGCCAGGGGGCCAAATTGTAGAATACAAAAACGATAACAGTCAATAATGTCTCAAATTTAACTCAACATATACCAGTGATCAAATATTATTATGGAAATATTTCTGTTTTTCATGATTTCATGGCAGATTTTGTCATGTTTTCTTCATGTTTTGATATATGAAAATTGACCTGAGGGCCACATTGAGGGTTGACGAGGGCCGCATGTGGCCCCCGGGCCGCCAGTTGCCCACCCCTGAACTAGTTTAACTCAAATACCTCCAATCGAGAAATGCTGGACCTATTCGTATCAGTCAGACAATATAATCTGATGAGTTGTTCATCTCAGACATTTAGGTATGGGCATGTTTTTCAATAAATACCAAAAAGAAAACATATATATAAAAGAAAAGAATGCTGTGGGTATAGAAACAGTGCCAACAAGTCACTTGACCAGTAGAGCCAATCAAACTGTTTGATGTACAGGCTGAAGTACAAACCAGAATTCATTCAATGTAAAATAAAGTTTAATATTATAATGTATTATAATAATATATAAAATAAGTATCTTGCTCTATGATACATTGTTTTATAGGATACAAATCTAATAATATAATAATATAATTAAAAGATATACCACATGTTGTTAAAAAGACTCTGTAGCTCAGAATGTGAAACCTTTTGCAATGTATTAATAATTAATTAATTAATAACCATAATGTATTAAGAACAAAGAAAATAATGCTAATTTGTTTGATTGTTTTCTCCTTTTCCGCATCATCATTTAAATACACAGGCAGTAGCAATCACATGGGCGACAAAAATAAGCAAGCTCACTGATAAAATCAAACACTGATGATGATTATTCTCACCAGAACGAGAACGTCTTAGATGGATCCAGACTCAGAGCCACAAACAAGCAACGGTCAAACTGAATGTTCATTCACACAGGGTTAAGGTTTCTGAGCTACAAGTAAAAAATTGCCGAGGACGTGAAGAGCAGAAGGAGGAGGGCAAAGAGATCATTACAGAGTAAAATGAAAGAATGAATGGGAAGAGAAGTGCTGAGGAAGTAAAGATAAAGGACAAAAGAAGGGGAGGAATGTAGGAAAATAGGGGAATGGGGGAGAAAAAATAAAGGACATTTTAGGACAATAAAAGTGATGAAAAACAAAAACAATGAAGGAGAGAAAGTGATTGGAGCAATTTAAGAAGAGAAGAAGAGTAGAGTTAGAGTAGGATGGGGAGGTGGAAAGATCAACAGATGCACAGCAGACGCTCCTGACAGCAGCGAACAAACGGTCACACACACACAAACACATGCACACACACACACTAGATGTGATGCATTTAAGGGCTGCGAAACAGAGGGAGCAAAAATCAGCTTTTTCGAAATAAGTCTTTCAAATGAGAGTTGACTACAAATGGTAGTCTTTTTATCACCACACAGCCAACACACACTCAACAAATACACAACAACTACTGTGTCCATGTCATTATGGCATCAGCTCTCTTTTGCACAGTAACACACGTGAATTAAAAAAAAAAGGACAGCTCATATCTAAAATAACACCGACTATAGTTACAAATCTTGACACAATAAGCATTCACACACAAACAGACCAACACAAACCACTAAAAAGACTAGTGCACTTCACTCTAAAGGTTTCTGAACAGTGGCTCCAGCTCTCTGTGAGAGCGTTAATGAGATTCATTCAGAGCAGATCAAACACATTCAAACACTGAGTGATCCAGACACAAAGCAGATTGAATGCATGATTACAAAGGCAAGGTTCAAAACTGATCCACTGAAATCAGTGAAAGGAACATCTGCAACAGAAACTTTATACGACTTCCATGTGGATATCACATCTTTTCCTTCAGCCACAGATCAACGAATCAAAGGGAATGACAAGTTGTTTGTGTCATTCTGTTTTTGTGGCAGGTGTCAGGGGCATGGCTGGGAATCCTGGTTTAACATCCAACTGCCTTGCTCCAAATTGAAATAGCTCAACAATCATGAGATAGATTATTAACCCTGTTGAATTGTTCTCTTGATGAATTTGCTTGTCACATCCCTTAAAAACACTGTGGCACATTTACCATCTACTCACAGCAGACAGTGAAAGTTTCACTTTAACTACTCATGGCTGTTAGCGCTGTTGTTTGTGGATTAGAAAATGTGGTTAATTTGAATACGAAGGGACCGATTTTGCCCTTGAAGAATGCATGATGGCTCATTTAAAATATGTGCAAACAGCAGTACCCAACAGACATGCTCAGTCAACGATGAAACACAGAGCCCTGCATCAGCTAAAAAGAACCGAATGCAACAAGCCATCTAGAGCCAACACTGCCTTAAAACTGCAAAAACTACAATCACACACATGCATTACCACCAAACCCAGTAGTATATCAATGTTCCCTTTTATGTGACTTTTAGCATCATCATAGATCTTTTCTCCATGTTATGTCCCAAACTAATGATAGTGTCAATGTTAGCTTCCAGTTGTTCTCAGGGCTAATCTGCAAACATCCATCCATTTTCTATAACGCTTTTCCCCTTCGGGGTCACGGAGGGGGCTGGAGCTGATCCCAGCTGCCATTGGGCAAGAGGCGGGGTACACCCGGGACTGTTCACCAGTCAATAACAGGGCAGCCACACTCACATTCACACCTACAAGCAACGTAGAGTCACCAATTCACCTAACAAGCATGTCTTTAGACTGTGGGAGGAAGCCAGAGTAACCAGAGAGATCCGACCCATGAACAAAGAGAACATGGAAACTCAAGCGTTTAGTTCAATGTATCACTCTGCTGAAAACACAGCCTTGCAGTGCTTCTAGCATGACTGTAGTCTCATGTCTGTATAATGTTTGTTTGCTTCATCCTTGCACCTTTAACTTGTGTGTGCATAATTACACTCCTCTCTCAGTGAAACCACACAGCGGCCACATCCCTCACTTCTTGCTACTCACTCTCTCATTACAGAACGCCAAAGCCCCGCCCACACTGACTGAATGACAGGTGATCTCTGGGAAACATGGAGCAGTGAATCCACAGTCACAAACTCTGAGCAACACTGACATGTTGGTTTTTATTTTGTCCAAAAAAACCACAATTTGTGACACCATTTTCTCTTCGTTTTTCTTGATGTAATGAGTAGTGCCTCAGTCCTGCTTCACATCTGATAACAATTAGCAGTTTTTGCTGCAGGTTTTACTTTCTCAGTGAGTCTTTATGTCAGTCCTGTCCAACTTTACTCCGTCATTCACTTAAAGGAAATGCTGTCATCCAGAGAGAAACCAGACCAAGAGGCACCCCATGCCACTCACTCTTTCCTCTCTCTCTCTCACACACACACACACACACACACACACCTGTAGATTATTGTGAAAAATGAACAGGTATCTCTCTGTGGTAGAAATATAACTTTGACAAACAGACTTCACACCTGTCTGCTCTGGTCAATACTTTTTTCCTGTGTGATTTGACTCTCTATAGAAAAGTATTTCTTCAATTTTTGCTTTATAATACGACAAACAATCAGGTTTGTTTTTATCCTGAGAGGTTGTTGATGTCTGCATAAAAGTACGAGTTAAATCAGTGACCAAAACCTCCCACAAAAATGCCCTGTCCCCAGTGAAGGCTATACATGTCAGCATATTTGGTTGACTTTTGGCACCAGAGGTCAAACTAAGAACTGACTACGCCTCGATGTATGTGGCTGTCATGTTTAACTAAGTATTTGGGTTAATTTAGGTACATAAACCAGCTCAAGTTAGCGACAGGACTGATCTAGGTATATAGACGTGTTGATTCGCCTACACTGTTAAAAGTCTGGGATTATTCTGGCAGCCAATCAGGACAGCTTTTGCCCTCCATATAGATCCCTTTAGCACTCTGAGTGTAGAAGTGCGATGAGAGAATAACACTGTAAAGGTTTGATTAAATAGAAAGACTCAGAAGAACAAAATGACACTAATTGTGTGTTCAGATGCAATCCAAAGCTAAATTTAGCGTCAGAGTGATTGCTTACAAAGTCAAAGTAAAGACATGATAAAGATACAATGACATGAGCTGTAAATGTCTGAAACTCTGAGAGAAGCTCAAACACAGACACAATGTGTTTCCATTGCTAACTGGCTTACAGCTAGGGTTACAGTGTGTCTGTACAGTTGGTTTAATGACTGAAAAACATCAACTAAGCATCCATGGTTCAAATTTGCTGAAATGGCGCTTTCTATCCAAGCTCATCTTTAAAGACGTTTAATACATAAAGAGATGAACTTTCTATACTTTTAAATATCACAGTGTGTTGTTTATTTTGAATTGCTTTCATTTTTCTATGATAAATCAAATGAACCAATCAAACTGGAATAATCAGAGACTCAGCCGGAAAGTCGAAGGGCAACCCAACTTAGGCGTCATTTTAAATCTGTCATGTTTGATCTACAGATATTACGTTATTCTGCTTCATCTGTATAGTTTTGGGTTTCAGGCTTATCGGGCTGACAAACTGAAAAAATCAGAAAACATGACACATTGTTGTGGTTGTGCATGGAAAATGTAGATCACAAAAAGCATGTATTTACATACTGAGGTTGTCAAAATGTTCAATAAATCTAAATTGCACAAATACACTGACAACGTTGCTATTGAAACTGATCTATTTGTGCATTTTAGACAGCGTTCAGGACTGTGACGTAATTTTTGATGATTGAAAACTCAATGTAAGCTGCTTATAGACTTCTGTTTCTGTTGTATTATTATTTTTTCTACAATCGTATAAAAGTTTTAATTTCTGATTTCTTCATGACCCTCGTCCATATATATGTACTGGATGACCAGGAAAAAAACAGAATACATTTTTGAAAAAGCAGCTAGGTTCACTAAATATCTCAGCCCTAACTTTCCTCTATGACAGACCAAAATCTTTCCAGATTTAACCGGCAACTGACTCCGCTGTAGTTTTCAGAGAGACATGCTAGACACATCATCACATATAGGCTAGATCAACAGACTTGAAGAATCTATGACATGGAGCACAGAAGCTTTTCTGGAGGATCATGATGGAACAACACACTCAATGAGAAACCAGAAAGATGTGATGTTTCAAACTAAACAAAATGAAAGCAGATCATATTGGGAGGCTGAAATCAGAGATTGCTTAATATTAATCAGCCCTTTTATAACTTGATCATCTTTTTGTCCAACCTTGGGAGGTCTTAATAAACTCTCATTGATCAAATGGAGTTTCTTGAAACCCAGAGACAGCCTCCACAAACATCAGCTCTGTTCAGGTAAAAAAAAAAAAAAAAACTTCTTCCTATTTTTATTGGTCTGAGGTACAATGACAGCCCGCTGTACCTCAGCCCTTCTTTATCCAACCTTTGAGCCTGAATTTCCTCAGATCTAAGCTGGAGGGGCCCCGAGGACTTCTGAGGAGGGATCGCAGAGTCGATCCGACTGAGAGAACGCATGCAGCCACATTATAGCATTTCCAGACACAACCAGAGTGGGTCTGAGCAATGACAGACTGTTTATTGGTCAAAACCATCTCATCTGCACATTCCTGCTCCCTGACACAATGGAGATGACATCAACACAACCAGTCCGCAACCCCACCAGTTACAGCTCTAAAGTGACACCAAATAACCTAAACTTAATAAGACAGCGATAAAAAAGCGCAGCAGTCCACAACTCAGCTCCCTGCTATGCATTTAAAAACACGACGATTACATCATCAGATGCCGCTGCAGAGCTGATGTCAGGGCTCATTATGTAAGACAAGGGGCATCACTTTTTCCAAACACAGAAAATTATAGTTTTCTGGGTGTAATGTCCTTCAATGTTCACTGTATGGGAGGTGGGAGAATGGAGTTTAGGCATCACAGTTTATGCATTTTAATATTTTAAAATGTTTTATTGCTCAAACCGTAAGTGTTCACGTGGCTGCAAGACAAAGTTTACATTGAGAACCATTAAGTCAAGCTCCAAAGTTTAAAGGATGACCAGCAGAATCAGTTCAATATCATAGTTATAAAGTATTAGAGTTATAGGATTTTGTTTTGTGAAGATGAAGTTCAACATCACAATTTGCATTATAAAATGATGCATATTCAAAAAAAATCAATCACAGAAATTGACTTTTCTTGAGCCCTGTATAGTTATTTCTACTTTGAGTAGTAAAAAAAAAACAATGAACACAAAACAGGAAAAAACTGAAGCAGTGTTCAGTTGTTTTGGCTTGTAAAACAAAGTTAAATCATTTGAGTGAGTGGTGGACTAAATTGACCTCATTCAGTTTAATTCTTAATATTTTCAAAAATCTATTCGCCTGTTTTTGACTTATTCAAAATAGATTCTGTGTAAAGTTGTAAGTTTTAACACAATTTATCACACTAAAGTTGAAGATGTGATAGAGTGATTCTGAAATCAGATCTTGTTGTACTGCTTTCTTTCATAATTTGTAGACTGGTGAGTGTGCATGACTGAGCATGAGCATGACTTCATAAATGTGAAACAATTTTTTATCAAAATGTGTTGTTAAACAACTGATAGAACTTTTTCCATTAAATTTAATTTAATTGGAGCAGCTTCTGGTATGCGGAGTCAGTACTCTTCAACAAGTGATAGGTCCCTGTCTTTATAACTCTGATATTAACTACATTATAGACACAATGTGCCACCATAAGACAATTTTCCTGCACAGAGGAAGTTATCATTTGACAGAAAAAAAGGTGAGAAAATGCATCTTTCTTACAGCAGGAGGGGAGCTGTTGTAAATTGGTGGGAGCTTCTCTCTTTCTCTCTCAACTCCTGACAGCGCAAAATGTTCTCCATCCATCCTCTCCGTGTGGAAGAGCGGAAAAAGTTTTTTTTTTTTCTTTTTTCCCTGGAAAGCCTCAGTCCTCTTCAGCCTCTGTGTTTCTGTTCATCGGAGGGCTGTACATGTTCATACCCGAGTCATCTGTGACCCCGAGTTACCCGTCAGGCTCCTCTGACTACGCCGTTAGTTCACAGAAATCAGGAAGATTCACATCGCAGAAGAAACGGAGTGAAATCAACCTTCGTCGGACAGGTGGGCTCTCCGTTACGCGCACAGCCTGACGCGTACACGTTTTCAGACGCAGCGAGGAAAGGCTGCAGCAAAAAATATTAATGGGCGTGAAGTTGTGTTCGTTTCAAAGAGTTTTTTTTAAAACACGTTAACTGGGTTTCTGCCCGCTTCTTCTTCTCCTTCTTCTGTCCCTCTCTACGTCGTCTGTCGGCGAAGCAGCAGAGCTGCGGGTCAGCGCCATGTTTAGTTGAGGAGGAGGAGGCGCCTGGAGAGCAGAGCTTGGAGACAGCAGCGCAAAACACACATGAACACACACACACACACACACACACACACACACACACACACACACACACACACACACACACACACACACACACACACACACACACACATTCTAAAAGAGAGAGAGGGACGGGAATATAACGGGAAATAGCAGCCTTTGATTCACAATAAAAGGGAAAAGAAGAAGAGACGAAAAAGAAGAAAGTAGTTTATTAAACTTGCAGCAGTATGGGGAAAGAGAAAAAGCCTTGATTGAAATTAAAATACGAATTTTAGGTATAAATAATAAATAAATAAATAAAGGGTGATGTGTTGACGTTTATTAGTAAAAACTGAAGACCAAATCTCATTTTGTCTGTCAGTTTCTCCTTTTTATCGTGTATTTATGATGTATCTGTTGATGCCTTTTTAGTAGGTGAATGAATGAATGTCATTCAGATTGCGTGCTGTAACATTTCAAAACAATTTTACATACATTGTAGTGTCAGGAAATCAGGAAATAAGAAGGGAATAACATCATAAAGTTAACAAATTAAAATGAATAAAGTAATGATAATAAAAATAATAATAATAATAATAATAATAATAATAATAATAATACATATAATTATCTTTTTAATATGTTCAATGATAACCAAAGTGTCACCAAATTTTTTTTTTGCTGTTCCGTATTTTGCATTTCTAGAGGAAATCTTAAATGAAACTGAGGGTCAATCAGAATTTGTGTTTTGTTTTTGTTAGTAACTTTAGAAGAAATTGCATCTGCTTGTGATTGAATGCATCTTTTTGAAAGTTATTCCCAATCCTTTTTTATTTCTCCATACTAATATACCACCTGTAGCGTCATAAGACTTTTACTTTGACAGTTGACAGAGGAAGTGACGTGCTGTGATTGTTTGACTTGACTGTGGACCCGCAGACTCTGCGTCACCGCTACAATTTAACTTCTGTCCGTAATTAGTGAGAAACAGGATCCGGGCTGCGCGCCAACTCTCACTGAACATAAAGAAAGTGAAGGGCTCCTGATGCTGCAGATGTGTGTGTGTGTGTGTGTGTGTGTGTGTGTGTGTGTGTGTGTGTGTGTGTGTGTGTGTGTGTGTGTGTGTGCGTGTGCGTGTGCGTGTGTGTTTGTGCGTGTGCGTGTGCGTGTGTGTGTGTGCGTGTGTGTGCGTGTGGTTTCTTGGTAAAGTTGAGATCATAAGAACTCTCCGTCTGGTTTCCTAAAACAGCTTCAGTGTTCCTGTAGGTCCTGGAAAAGCCTTGAAGACAGTTTTAGAGGCAGATTTCTTTCTCAAAATAAAGTAGAGTTATAAAATGTGCAACAGCAAGATGTACAAAGGCCTTTGGAGGTCTGGATGGTATGTAACACTGGACTTTTTCTGACTGCTGTTTTGCAAAAACTCCTGTTTTGAAAGATTTTCAGCTTTTCTAAATTTGGTTCAGTCCAGGCGTCAGGTCGAGCTCTGTTTGTTTTTGGAGCTCACACACTCTGCTCTGCAGCCGTCAGTCCATGTGTGTGTAGTGCGTCACTGAAACAGCAGATGTGTTGGTTGTGTGTCCGCTTTTATGGCGTCTGGGCCTCGAAACTCTCTGCAGCCGTGTGCACCTGATGTGAAAACAAAAAGCCTGCTGGGAGTTTTGACACATGATTTAGTGTGCGTCTGGCTGTTCTGATTAATACAGAACCCTGAACAGAGACTGTAGTAAACAAACTGTCTTGATGATCGTTTGGATTTTATTGTCTCTGTGGCAGGACAGTCTGGATATAAACCTGTTTTCATATTTTACATATGGAGGATCAAGGCAGCAGGCACTGTTGCATTATGGGACTGTTATGTAAGCGCAGATGGGCTGTGGCTGACTCATGGATTTATGGGCTGTGGGTTTCTTCAGCCATCACATCAAGGATAAAAAAAAAAAGGAGATGGGGAACGAATACATGAGTCAGAACATGGACAGACACAAGCAAATAAATGACCAAAGACCAACTAAAGGATTGTATATTTGTCTGCAGCAGGATACAAAGTATCCCAAGTGTCTTCCAACAGAGACAGGAAAGTGTAAATGTATCTTCTTCAATTGCTCTGAAACAAGGACTTCACGTGTAACAAAGCCTCTATGGCAACATCATGGTTGTTTACCTCGTCTTCTGACCTCTGAATGAGCTTAACTATAGCTGTTATAGGTTTTAAGATTAAACCCGTCCGGCCCGTCCAATATAAACTCTATGTAGATACGGATGAGACAACAAACACAGCCAGAGTGACTCGCGCGTCACACTCATTGTAGACAGTCATGACTAAGAGAGTTATTTACAGAGGATATACTGGCTTTATTGTAGGGCTAGGACAGTGGATAGAGTCGGAAATCAGGGATTCGAACCCTGGCCCCCCGCCCAGAGTACAACCGCCTCCGCACATGGGGCGCCCACCAACCACCAGAGTTTACAGTTATAGGGCTTAAAGAGAGTGTAATACAGAGTTACAAAAATGTGTTTGCATTGCATTCCTCGTACATTTCAGATAGATCGTCATTTGGTAGTTAATTCTGCCTATTTAAGACTCTTTTTTTTGTTTTTTATGAAGTTTTGTAAATATATTCTGAACTATAACTTTTGGGACTGTGGCTAGTCTACAATTAGCAGGTGAAAAATATAGTGTCAAAATAGCATTGATTATTAATAGTAAAGATAAAAACATTAGGATTTGTATCAGACACACAAAAAACGTTTTTTAAGGGACTAAAATTATTGTATTACAGTATTAAAATCAACACCCACCAAATTCGCAAAATGTGAAACATTGGCAAATAACCCAAAAGAAAAGTAAAACTGACACTGTCAAACTGAACCAGAAGTCGGATTTGTTATTGCAGTTTGTTAAAGATCTTTAGTTTGTTAATATTAAATTATTTTAAAGAGTTTTTGCTTACATAAATTAGAAGTCCGTTTGGTCAGAGAGTTTAATGCCAAGAAGATCTCAGCTGTAAGTAAATGTCTGCATTTGGGTCCTTTGTTTGTCCTTTAAATACTGTAGCAGCCAACACAGCCAATGAGAGCAGAGCAGTGATCACAGGAAACAGAGTAAATGTGTCCGTCTCTTAGTAAATTAAAAAACAACAGACAGACAGACAGACAGGGATCAAATGATGTGGTTTAAGTAGTCATTGAATGAGAAGGTTCAGGTGAGGAGTTTGGCTTGAGATCTCAGGTTAACTTCACTGAGTAACTTCATGGCTCTGACAGTGTACACGTCTTCAGGCTGAAGTTAAGCAGACCAGGACCAGGACCGGTTGGCAGAGAGGAAACTCTGGAGTATTTTAAGCCCCGCATAAGCATCAAAGCTGCTGACCCACACAACTTTTTAAAGTCTGGGCACTCCTGGAGAAAATTACCCAAAAAGAAAAGAAAAAACTGAAACCTGCCCCCAGGTTTTCCACCCTGATTCTGAAGGTCCCTTACAAGACTAGCTGCTCTTTTATCAAGGAATTTATCCTGTGAAAGAGTAGATCCTGAACTTCTGCCTCTTCATTCTACATAGAAAAGTTAATCTCTTTGATAACTGTAAAAAAAATATCAGATATTGATCTGTGGTTGCTTAGAGGGAGATACTGTAATATCTGTATAGATTTTTATCAAGAATAAGCACAATAATAAGTTACATATCACAACACAAAGTAGTGGAAGCTGACATGTACCCAGACTGGAACTAAATGTAAACAATAGGAAAATATTAGGGATTGTTAAATCGACTTAACCTTTAAAATAAAAGTTGAATGTTGTTTTAAATAAACCAGTCATGTACTTTTTCATAATATCGGTCTTCTGGCTTACCTTGCATTTTAACAAGAATCATTTGTATAAATGTGTCTAGTTTGTATGTTAAACTGATTGTGAACTTCTCTGTGTGCCGTTTTGTGAGCAGTCCTGTGAGGTGTCCTGTAGAAATACAATTTACTTTAATGTGTTGTTGTAAGTGCATACCTAGGACTACGGATGTAGTTTAAGTAGTGTGCTTATTCTGACATTTACGTGGCTACTTCATGCTGATTAAAGGAGCACTGTTCTCATTGAAAAATTAAATACATAAATACTGTAAAAAGTACAACTGGCTGAATGATCTATTTTAAACTAAATTGGACTTTTTTTTAACAAGATAAACATCATGCTGTAATTTATAAATAGTCAAAATATTAATTTAGACCATAAAATCACCTTAAACATGTCTACTTAGATCATAAATAGAGTAGGAAGTAGGTTTTTTTTTAAATCCCAGTCTGACAAGTAATTTTAATCATTTTTGCAACCAGTGGAGTCACCATTAAAAAATACAGATTCAAAGCCCTTTCTTGTTGGCTTCATTTTTTTGTGGGCTTTTTGTGCCTTTATTGGAGAGATAGGACAGTGGATAGAGCCGGAAATCAAGGAGAGAGAGTAGGGAATGACATGCAGGAAAGCAGGTGTGATTGTGTTGTATGTATCTGTGTGCAAAAGGATGACAGGCTGGCCTGATCATCCCATGTGATCATTTGAACTGATGTTTGAACAATGAGCATCTGAGAGGGAGGAGAGGCATCTGTTGTCAGGAGGAATATTTGGTTTGATTCATAGCAACGGCACAATCTGTGCGAGAGAGAAAGCTTAAAGCACATCTGGGAAAAAGAGAAGGGGAGCAGAATCCTCTTTTCAGAACGTTTGGCAGTAAAACATACACACGCCTTTCCTCAGAAAACCAGAGTGGAGAGAGAGAGGTTACTCTCGTTCAAGTGGGATCCAGAGAAACAGAGAGTGTGTGTGTGTGTGTGTGTGTGTGTGTGTGTGTGTGTGTGTGTGTGTGTGT